GTTTTATGCCTCTTTCCCTTTCCACTAAAACCCTACCGCGCAGACCGACATTGGGGCCTGAGTTTCCTCTCCCATGAGGCTCCGTCATCTCCACTTCTCTCTCTCAAAACCCCTTTTTCCAAGACCCATTCCCGCCGTATCCCTCTACAATTCCACAAACCCCATTTTTCAAATCGCCAATTTCTCCAACGCCCCATTTCACCCCTCCCACGCCACCTCCTTCTCTTCCCGCCGGCACGCGGTGGAAAGCCGGCGTGTTAAGGTCTCGGTATGGTGGGATTTCGAGAATTGCAACTTGCCGACTGGCTCCAACGTGTTTAGGGTGACCCAGGGCATCACTGCCGCCATTAGGGCTAATGGGATCATGGGTCCTATCCAAATCACGGCTTTTGGAGATGTAATGCAGATGTCGCGGGTTAACCAGGAGGCCCTTTCGTATACGGGAATCAGTTTCACTCACGTTCCTAATGGTAAAACCCTCTCTTCAAACTTAGCTTATTTTTTTATAGCTCTTATTGATTTGTCATTTGTTGATGTATGCTTTGAAAAATTAGTCTGGGAAATCTTGGAATTTAGAAATGCAGTGAATATATATATATAATGGGAATAGCATTATTCTTAATACGTGAATATATGTTGTATACTTGTATGTAGTATTTCATAATATTAGTGGTCTCATCGACTCATAGCATTGAGTATGGTGCAAATTTGAGTTAATTACATGGTGCAAAACCTAAAATTCAAAATAATAATAATCCGGTTAACCGAATGTTCATGAACCAGAACTGGAAACCCGGGGTGGTAGCTCAGATGATAAATGAGCTCTCTTCGAAGGGGAGAATTTTGGGATAACCCGGGTTCGATTCCCACAAGCGATTATTCCCTCCAGGCCAGCTCCGAGCCTCTCGGGAGCGAACGGGGATTAGTCGGTTGGACCTGGACCGTCAAACGGACAGAGAAAGAAGACCCGGACCACTTCGTGGTTTACACCAAAAAAAATGAACCAGAACTGGAACCTTTGGTTCGTGAACTACTAAGGAACCGTATATAGGTTACAGTTCATGCTATTTATGAGCCGTGAACTGAACCAAATCCTGGCCACCTCTAATGGGAACCGGTTTCCCTCATTTCCCAAATGATAAAACTATCTGTTCAAAGTTAGCTTACTTTTTTATAGATATTGATAGGCTGTTTTGTTTTGCTTTCTGGTGTTTAAGGTCACAAAAAGATAATCAACTTTACAGTATTTTATGACTCCTTGTTGAGGCAGAATCCTGTAACTTTTCCAGTCCCAACCATTTCAATTATGGAAGTTCTTTTTTTCTTAATTCAGGTGGAAAGAACAGTGCTGATAGGTCCCTTCTTGTGGCCCTTATGTATTGGGTTTCCCAAAATCCCCCGCCAGCACACCTTTTCTTGATTTCCGGAGATAGAGATTTCGCCGGTATCCTGCACCGGCTAAGGATGAACAATTATAACATCTTGCTTGCTAGTCTAGAATCTGTGCCCAGTGTTCTAAGCAGTGCTGCTAGTATCATGTGGCAATGGAATGCTCTAATTAGAGGGGAGAACCTCACAGGAAGGCATTTTAATCAACCGCCAGACGGTCCCTATGGTTCTTGGTATGGCCATTGTAAGTCACCTCTTGAAGACCCCTTTGTGGATATGGAACAGCCAGCTCTTTCCTGTACTCAGGAGCCATCTAATTCTAATTCAGATTTGAAACTTCGACCGATACCAAAAGCGGTTCAGAAGCTTATCCTTCATATCCTTTGCTCAAAACCCGCAGGAATTTCAAGTAAAGAACTTCGCTCAGAACTGGATAAAAGCAATTTAAGTATAGATAAAGACTTGTATGGGTATAAGAAGTTTTCTTGTTTTCTTTTAGCCATGCCACATGTTTTGAAACTCCAATCTGGAAATGATGGCCAGTTCTTAGTACGGGGTGTCTGCTCAAAGGCTTCTGAACAAAATCAATGATGTTAATGAAGAAAAATCTAATGGCTGTGATACATTTCTGGTAAAAAGACGTATATTGAGAATGTGGATGTGAGATCAACAAGTCACTATGAAGCCTGTGTAGTTTTGGATAACTCAGGTTCGGAAGCTGGTGAAAAAATTGCACAAAGTAAAACAAGGTTCTGAAACACGAGGTATGGTCAAAAGTTTCATTTTGAAAGGATTTGGTGGATGATTTCCAGACAGGCAACAATGGCAGCCGTGGCTTTCCTATGGAAGAACGGAAGATTAAAACCCAGAATCAGTTGCATCCATAACAGCCTCAAAATGATGTTCACCACCTGCATTTGGACCAGCAAAAAACATGAAGATTTCAAGAAAACAGACTGCCATTTTCATTATGGCTTTTTTTTTTTTTTTTTTTTTTTTTTTTTTTAACTTACAATTGCAGCAAAGTAAACAGCCTTGTTTGGAACAAGGAGCTTGTCCCTCAACCAAGGGTTCTTGGAGTTCCTCTGCAACAGACCCCAATCTCTAACAATGTCCCAGTACGTATTGGCGATGGTCGTGATCCCTGAAAAGGCTGCTGCCAGGACTCTCATGGCTGTTTCTTCAACACGAGGAGAGTGATCAATTTATGGAGGCGTAATTGGCTCTTTGTGCTTCAGTAGATTAAGAAAGTAGTTATGAACAGATACTACATTGTAATAGAGTCAATAACATTCAAAAAAAGAATGATTATTTGTAATACTAAATATATAGACTGATTTAATTTAAATGATTTAATTAAGGATGATTTAATTTAATAATTTAATTTAATTAAAATACTATACTATAATAACAAATTATTATAAACTATAATAATTACTATAATATATATATATATATATATATATATATATATATATATATATATATAACAATAGTAACTAATATTATATTCTTCTTTTACTCAACATGTTAAATTACATGAATCTATTTATAAATTAATATGAATGTAATAAATGTTTTCACATTTGGTGGAAATTTTTTTGAGAATTACATGAATCTATTTATCTATTTATAAATTAATATGAATATAATAAATGTTTTCACATTTGGAGGGGAATTTTTGAGAATTACGTGAATCTATTTATAAATTAATATGAATATAATAAATGTTTTCACATTTGGAGTGAAAATTTTTAGGACAATTATTTTGTTTTAATATATATAGAGATAGAGATATAGATTATTTTAAAAAGTAATTTTACTGTGAATAACTATGTAATAGAATGATACTTTTATTACAATTTCAAATTAGTAGTAACAGAATTAAATTTTGGTGGGATACAATGTACCAATTCAAAATGAAAAGCTTTATAATAAAAAAACAAACATACTAAATTGTAGCAAGTAGTACTAAAAAATAGTAAATAATTTAAATCAATTCTTTACCAAATAATAAAAGAAAAAAAAAACAAAAAATACGAAAAGCGAAATAAAATGGAATAAAATTGAATGCTAGAATAGAAAGTCGATATTCACTTAATCACTTCTCCTTGGCTTTATAAATGGAAAATGATGGAGACTCCACTACAAATTCCTTCCACAGAAACAGAAAGAGAGAAAGATGGCGACGTCGCCGGAAAACGAGCACCCGCGCAAGGCTTTCGGCTGGGCTGCCAGAGATTCCTCCGGCATTCTCTCTCCTTTCAACTTCTCCCGCAGGTATATACATCAACGATTCGTTTTAAGTCAATGTAGTGTCTTCATTTCTTCATCGTCTTCGTATTAAAATTTTAAAATACTCCGTCTGTCCATTGTTAGTACTAAGATAATATCTCGATACTCGGTGTAAGTTCCGATCTTATAGCGGCGCCGCGGCGGGATGGCGGAAGAAAGTTTTGTAACAGACTTCTTCGTCTCGGTCGAGACGAAGAGGATGTTCAATTTTTATTTTTATTTTTTTAATTTTAAAATTTTAAAATACAAAAAAATAATAATAAAAAATAAAAATAAAATCAACAGCAACGTCATTAGCTAATTTGATCTTTTACTCCATAATAATTTTTAAATATATTACAGATCACCACTGTTAATAATTTAATAATATTATAGCTTAAGCAGCTCAGTTGGCTCCCAAAATGCTTGAACTTATTTTACTTCCCACATTGTTTATTTCGATTTGTTGTTCTTTATTAATTAATTTTTTGTTTTTTAAATGCAAGTATGTATTTTCAAGCTTGAAAGCTATGTTCCTGATTGTTTGGCAGAGAAAATGGCCCTGATGATGTGACTATCAAAATACACTACTGTGGTGTTTGTCACTCTGATCTGCATAATGTGAAGAATGACTGGGGGTTCTCAAGATACCCAATTGTGCCTGGGTATGACATAAAAACCTTAAGCTTATTGAATTGCTTTTGCATGCTTAGTTTTGGATGCTTCTTGATTTGGATCTGAATGCTGTAGTTTTATTGCTTTATCTCTTTGCTCTTGAAGTTTTACTTTCTTGATGTATTAAGGAACATAATACTGTAGTTATTAAAATCTCATTGTGCCAGCTCACGCTATGATTTTTTTTTGGTGAATTTACATAAAAATGCAATATGTGTGTAAGGCCTAGATTACTCGGAAAGCGTTTAATGGATTGACATAGAAAGAGTGTGGGTGATGTAGAACAGAGATAGAGGGAGAGAATGTTTTATGATGATGACAAAATGGTGCTTCATCACTTGTTGTAATGCATTATAGCTTTTGCATTAATCAAGGCTTAGAGGATGCCATTTCAAGGCACTTCACTAAGGCAAGAAGTGATGGTATTTCTTTTGAAATTGGAAATGCTACATTCTATGATATTGATGCTTAGAGAATGAACAGAAGAGGTGAGGTTCTCGACAAAGAGAACTAAATGCAGAAGTGCCATACAAGGCTGGCCTGTGGCCTTCTTTGTGTAGTTTTGCATTTTCACATTCATGTTGATTGTGTTAAATTGAACTTCTTGGAATAAGAAGTAGGTTGAATGCTGTGTTTGACATCTCACAGTGAGCAGGGGAGAGGGTAGCTTACTAGCTTCTCCAAGTGTGAGTAGAAACATGAGAGCATCATTAATTTCATAGTGGGGCAGTCTTGGATCAAGTATTGCCACAATTCTGCAAAGCTTGGATTTATTAACTTTACCTTTGAAGTTCAAATTTCTCGGTGCAGGCATGAAATTGTTGGCATTGTTACCCAGACAGGGAGTAATGTTCAGAAATTGAAAGCTGGTGACCGAGTTGGTGTTGGTGTGATAGTCGGATCCTGCCTGACATGCGACATCTGTGAGCGAGATTTGGAGAGTTACTGCCCCAAAAAAATATTTACCTACGCCTCCAAGGATTGGGATGGCACAGTAACATATGGTGGTTATTCGGACAAGATAGTTGTTCATCAACACTTTGTGCTTCGTTTTCCTGATAACCTGCCTTCTGATGCTGGTGCACCTTTGCTATGTGCTGGTATCACCGTATATAGCCCGATGAAATACTATGGGATGATAGAGCCCGGGAAGCATCTAGGTGTAGCAGGACTTGGCGGGCTTGGTCATGTTGCAGTTAAATTTGGCAAGGCATTTGGGTTGAAAGTAACGGTCATCAGTACTTCACCAAGGAAGAAAGATGAAGCCATTAACAAGCTTGGAGCTGATTCTTTCCTCATTAGTACTGATCCTGCCCAGTTACAGGTAAGTGAATAATCATCCTAAAAAGTTAAAAATTACTTACTTTTCATGCAAATAGACTGAATTAGTGTTAAATCAACCACAGGTTTATGGTAATGTATGTGCTTATTCTTTCAGGCTGCAACGGGTACAATGGATTACATTATTGATACTATTGCTGCTGTCCATCCCTTGGCTCCACTGCTCAGTTTGCTGAAGATGGATGGCAAACTCGTGACTGTTGGCCTGCCAGAAAAGCCTCTAGAATTGCCAGTTTTCCCTTTAGTTGCAGGTAAGATAGGTTACATTATCCTAGACACTCCATTCTTGAGTGCAGATATGACACTCATTGTTTAGTTTATGTGGTGCATCGCATCTACCATAGCGTTTTGATTAATCCATCTCTTTAACAGGCCGGAAACTTATCGGGGGAAGTGACTTTGGAGGAATAAAAGAGACACAGGAGATGCTAGACTTTTGCGGGGAACACAACATAACAGCAGATGTTGAGGTGATCCGTTTGGATGACATTAACACAGCCATGGAACGTCTCGCCAAGTCTGATGTCAGGTATCGTTTTGTCATCGATTTGGCAAGCTCCCTGCCCAGTAGTTTGTGATTGCTGCATTGAAATACTATTAAGGTTTACCATGAATGTATTGCTGAAATGAAGTACTATTCTTGCACTAGACCTTGCTGCACTAGTGTTTGTCTTGTGACATTACATTGTTCTACTTTTGACAATAAAGGTAAAACCTTAGTTCACGAGCCTTTGTTTCTTCTGATTAGATTTACTGATTCTGACAACTAGTGTAGCAGTTACCTACTAGGGTGTAGGTCAATTGAACTGTTCACTAGTCTAATCCAAGTTTTGCATTATTTATATATAATGTGGACTATGAATGGGGAAAAAATCACAAGCTCTTTCAATATGAGCTTGGGCATTCTCAAATTCTCATCCTCATCCTCAAAAGGCGAAGTTCCTCGTCCCATAGACCCCACATCTTGGCTCGAGAGATTATAAAATTTTAATTATGAATTAAGTCGAGTCTAAACCCAAAACAAAGACAAATTATAGTGTGAAACACAGTCTACATTGAAAGGTGTATCAATAGTACACTAAAAATGAATATTTAATATACTGCAAATGAACATAAGTATCAGCCTACGGCATAATGATGGGAAAACATAAAGTTTAGTGGTTTATATTGGTTTTTCATACGAGAGAGAGTTCGAACTCCCAACCTCTATTAAGGGATAAGAGTGCGACCACCCACGCCAACTATTCCTCAATTACAAGTTTACAACCTATTACAAGCGGTTTTTTACTATAATATCTCATATTAATTTTGTAAAAAAAATGTGAACTGGTAGCTCATTTCAAAAGACTAGTCCAATAGATAAGAGAACCTCTCAAACTTGAAGTATCACTCCACAATCTCTTCCACATACATGAGAATTAGAATCGTATTATAATATTCTGGAATGGACTCTTTCCTTTGAATTTAAGCACCGACTGGTTTCACTAGAAAGATTGAGATGCATAGAGGAAAAACTACTCCCTGGATTGAGCAAACCTCTACTCTAATGGCTTCTACATCTCTTTTCTCTGTGGCTGTGATATGGCTGACCATTTTTGAGGCAAAACCATGGAAGCTTAAAGCATGGCAACCATGTATGATAAATGCATTTTAAAACACTTCTAATTAAATTTGTAGGCACATGTGAATAATATGTTGAGATGCATACTTAGAAAAAGTAAATATATGTTACCCGCACGGTCTTAGTTCAATGGTTCAGCGGACATATCAAAGTTCGAACTTCAACGGTCACAATGTGTAAAATTATGTCTAAAATGGATAGAACAACCTTTTAGGAGAAGAAAAGTAAATATGCGTATATAAGTCACATACCAAAGTAACCAAATATATATGTGCAGAATTGACTATATTGGATTGAATTATTATTTTTACACTTAAATTTAGTTAAAGTGACTATGTCACACTTTATATATAGTGAGTTTAGTCCATACAAGTTTATATAATAATTTGGTTTTGCTTAATCTAAAAACAAAAATCCACAATAATTCATAATGTATTGGAATGTAAAAATGTAAAATGACTAAATTAAGACAGTAAAGTAAGTGTGAAATGATCATAACTGCATGTAAGCTAACTAATTATGGAGTTTAAATGCAGTATGTGGAAAAGAAATCAACTAATCAAACAATAATTTCTTAGATGCCCCTAATTTATATAGATTATAGATTTCCCGGCCTGTTTTCAAGGACCTTCCTGAAAAGTGAAACCGCCAAAACTGAATTCATATCTCTCACTCTCTCACTTCTCTGTTGCTCCTAACCAAGCAATGACTACTTGCCGGCGCCGCACTACTCTCTTCCTCCTCAAGTTACTCTTCCTCCTCGCCACCGTCGCCGCCGTCGATTCCGCCGCGGACGATGCTGATTCCGGTGATCCGCAAGAGCTGGATGCAATGTGCACAGTCCTAAGGTCCAGTGGCTACAATCTCTTCTGCAATGCCATCGCCACTTCTGACCTTCAAGTCCAACTCACCGCCAACGCCACCGTCGGCTTCAGTTCCTCCATAAAAGTCACCGCCGGCGCCACCTTCACTCTCTTCTCCCCCAAAGACAAGTTTCTATACACGCTCGACATGGCCTCCGATGCCGCGGATTACGTCGCCGCTCTGCGTTACCACATCGTCCCCAGCCGCGCTCTCGCCCTCTCCGACCTCAAAAGCCTCTCCTCCCCGTTCCTCGACACGCTCCTCCCTCACTACAGCATTTTGATCTACAAAACTGACAACGCCTCCGTCACTGTCGACGGCGTTATGCTCTCGGATCCGGATCTTTATCTCGGGTCGAAGATCGTTGTTCACGGACTCGATGGAATTCTTTTGAGCGGTTATAGCTCGCCGTACGAGGACTGCGACGGAGAGAATGAATCAGGGCTTATTTCATCGCCGGATGAGGTTAACGCTCATCACATTTGCCTAAACTTCACGGCGCCAACACCGGCCGCGACGCCTACTGTACTACGAGCGGCTCCGACTCCTAGGGCACCAATACCGGCCGCGAGGCCTACTGTACTACCAGCGGCTCCGATTCCTAGGGCACCAGTACGGGCCGCGACGCCTAGAGTACAACCACCGCCTCCGACCGAAAAAAGAGGAACGGTTCCAGGACGTTCAAAGCGTGGTCAGTCCCATCGCCAGGGAATTAGAAGCGTTCCCCGGAGAGACCGCCGCCGCAATAATCACACTAAGGCCGGAGTAGATTTATCTGTAGTTTGAATTGATACGAGCATCACTATATTCTGGATATTTCCGAACTTCAATTTGTGGTTTTCACAGTTTCACATTTGCAGGAAGTACTAATCTCTTTGTTTCTGTAAGTAAAATCACAAACTACACAATATAGATCATTGATGCAGAGCTTTGCTAGATCGTTGCAAATATGGTGATTAATCGCATAAATTTGACCATTGCATAATGTTTTTCAATCATTTCTTATTTTCTTACACCGCATGTAATCACAAACTGATTATCGATGAGATTATAAATCAATAATTCTCGATCATATTAGTGATTATAACAAGCATTGATTTCATAGCAATGAAATATACATCAAACTATGGAGTTGTAGCGTCGAAGCTGAAAACGGAAGCAGTTGAATCGATAGGTTGAGGAGAAGGTTGTAGCCAAGGGGTAGGAGTGATAGGCTGAGGAGAAGGTGGCGGTGACGGCGGCGGAGGAGAGTGATCGTCATCGGCGGTGGCGTCGCAATATCCTTGAAGAATATCAAACTCCTGAGTGGTCAGTCCAAGCGAGCCAAACACGGAATTGGCCCAGCAGTTATGATGAATAGTCCTAACGGCACGGCAGCAGCCCTGCCCGAGATACTTCTCCCCGTTCACGAAGAACAGGATGACTTCGCCGGTGCAGGCCCGCAGGGCGAACAATGACTCCCAGCACGACGACGAACCCCCGCCGGAATCTTCCTCATCCAGCCTTAGACGCGCGTGAAGGGCGGTGGCACCGGAGGTCACTGACAACGGTCGAGCTGAAACTGTGGCAAGCGAAGCCGCCATGGACAACAGTAAAACAGCTTTGATCATGGGAGTGGTAGTAGTTGCAACGTGAGCCATTGTTTAATGCCCAATGGAGGAGACGTGGAGATGTTTTTATAGGTGGAGGAATTCATGATCGGAAAGCGAAGAGATGCATTGCCATAAATCTATCATTTGTGTAACTGAAAACTGTTCAGATCAATTACTGGAAGCTAATTATCATGAATGCTTGCTTCAATTATAATCATAATCTTGATCCAAATTATAATCATAATCTTGATCCAGCGGCACTATTGGGTCTAGAATCTCACTTTGAATTGCGATTTAGGAAAAATTCGCTATTTACTTCCACCAATGAGTTTGGACATTAGACCCTAAAGGTTTAGAATTAGTTTGACGTGATATATGTATTAAAAAATATAGAAAAAATAATTAAATAGGACGGGTGTAATTTAGACGGAAGAAGTTAACCAGCAAAATTTTTAAAAAGTGCAATTAAACATTTACTGGTCGCCTTTACCCGAGAAGGCTTTCATTTGGTAGATGGTGATGTTTTCTATAAAGTTTCTCCGGTTAGCAGCAAAAAATGGAGTTAAGGATGTAATTTTACTGGTAACCCGGTAAATTTGACTTATTTAACTAAAAATAAAGATTTAATTGTACTTTTTTTAAAATTGAAATGTTTAATTGACTTTTAGTATAAAGTTTAGAAGCCTATTTGATTTTATTTTTTTTTTTCAAAAATATATGTAATGTGATGATATATTTATTGTCATTTTAAATGAGTGATCATTTTACCAAATGAAATAGATAGTACATTATATAGAGAATCATCCATCATATATCTCTCGTCTTTCTAAAGAGGCCCATTTACTATGCAGAATATAATGGGCTTATCGAAGAATGTCTTATTGGGCTTCGCTTCTTTCAGTTACCGGATTTCAGGGAGAAGCATAGGTGCATAGCCCATTCGCGGTGGGAAAGAGGATGAGCGCGGCGGAGCTGCCGAAGAGGGAGGCGAACGTCCTGAGAGGACACGAGGGAGCGGTTCTGGCTGTGAGGTTCAATAGCAACGGCGAGTATTGCCTGAGCTGCGGGAGGGATCGCACCATCCGCCTCTGGAATCCGCACCGTGGAATTCACGTCAAGACCTACAAATCTCACGGCCGTGAAGTTCGAGACGTCCACGTCACTTCGTACTGTTCTCCCTCACATTATTCATCATATTTTACAGGATTATACTCTACTTCTACTTCTCTCACAGCGGAGGAAGATTACTTGTATTTGATCAGTAACTGCGTTATCAAAACCAAAAATATATGCGCGTGTATAATGTATAACAGATACAAACCACAACAAAAGTGTTTTGTGCTGAAAGAAAGTTCAACTAATGAAGTGTTGTTGAATGCCACAAATCTAATGAAATGCGGCATTTGTGCATTAGCAGCAGTTGACATGCCTTTTTACACTGATTTTTTTTTTTCTTTTTAGATTCTAAGTGCAAAATTTGATGACTTGTGTCTTGTGACCTTCAACTGTTTTGGAAATGCAGGGATAACTCCAAGCTATGTTCCTGTGGCGGTGATCGGCAAATATTTTACTGGGATGTGGCATCAGGCCGTGTAATTAGAAAATTCAGAGGCCATGACAGTGAGGTAAGATACAAGTATGGTGAAATTCAACATAATATCTTAGACACTTCAAAATACTTTTTATTAAGCTTGTGGTATATACATTACACATTACACATTACACATTACACATTACACAGTACGCTATTTCGGATTTTGGAAGGGTATTCATGGCACTAATAGTCATTATTGGATGGTTATAGAGGTGGAAAAGACTGTTGTAAAAAACTGTGCTTATAGATGTTAGAAATATAGAAAATTCTGGAAAGTGGAAAACTTATTATATCCTTTCAAAGTGAGCTTGGCAGGAAAAATAGACGTGAATCATGCCATTAACAGTTTTAGAGTATATTGGACAAAATTCTGAAAGATTCAAATCATGTTACTCTATTCATACATAACTTTGCATATACTTGTGCATACACTTAGAAATGTTCTGGGTATGTATGATTGATGATATCTCATATCTATAGTTTTGCTTTAAGCTTTTAATTTTATATGAACATGTAGCTTCATGCAGAGAAGCTGAAGCTTCAGTTTTACAAGTTTGCTATTTTAAATGATTGATTTGTTTCTGCTCCACGAATACTGTTTTTATTTTCTAATTAATTAAATATGGAAAGGTTTGCTTGCTCTAGTTTGTTGTCTTTCTGTATTATAAATTAATGCATTAGCTTGTTTGCCACTATTACCTCACACTGTCATCTTCAACATCATTGCCAGGTGAATGCTGTGAAGTTTAATGATTATTCTACTGTAGTTGTATCTGCTGGATATGATAAATCTTTGCGCGCCTGGGACTGCAAATCTCACAGCACTGAGCCAATTCAGGTTCGTAACTTTCCCTTTCTTATACTGTAGGCTATTAGTCACATTGAAACTATATTTTTAAAAAACCTCTGAAGTTTTGCTAGTAATTATAATTTTTTAGTTGCCAATGAAGTAGGGAAAATTTTGTTGGTTTTGTGATATTATAGTTAGACTAGAATTGGCTGTGTATGTGATTACATCTGCTGGATGGTTATAAAAGTCATCTACACTCTATCCTGATTTGGTTTCAAATCTATTAATGTGAAATTTTAATGCTCTCTTCCTCTATTATGTTTTGTCTTGCTTTGCTGACTAAGCTATAACCTTTTTCATTTATGTGTAAAATTCGTAATTTGGTTTTGAATCTGTTCATTATAAAATGTTAACGCTTTCTTCGTATTATCATTATATCTTGTTTTGCTGGCCTAGCTATAATCTTTTTCAATAATATGCAGATTATTGACACATTTTTAGATAGTGTCATGTCAGTCTGTTTGACAAAAACTGAAATAATTGCTGGAAGTGTTGATGGAACTGTTCGAACATTTGACATTCGAACTGGTAGGTAAGTAGCACTTCAACAAAAATCTGGAATCCTTTTTTATTTTTAATTAAAGACTGAAATACTCGCAAGATATTGCTAAGTGTACCAATATTTGTATTGATTTACCAGGGAAATATCTGACAGCTTGGGGCAACCTGTGAATTGTATCTCTCTGTCAAATGATGGGAACTGTATACTAGCTAGCTGTCTTGACTCAACCTTGCGACTTCTGGATAGGTAATTTCTCTGCAGTCTTGTTTATTTTCATATTAGTGATGAGGGGACATAATTCATTACCTTCTTTGCTTCTATTCTGACAGGTCTAGTGGTGAACTGTTGCAAGAATATAAGGGTCATACTTGCAAGGTTTGTGGTCAAGCCTGGCCTGGACCTAACTTTTGATCATGAATTTCCTTAACAAATTCAAAATTAATAACATTTGTTTTAATACATTAATAAACTGATTAGTAATGCACTGTCAATGGATTCAGTACAATACTTTTCCACGGTTTGCTTTCTCTAGTGCATCCAAAGCAGTATCATGGAGTTTATTGCATCTAGTCATTAGCTAATTAATAACCTCTAACCAGTTTTTGCTGTTTCCTAGACTTCTAAAACAGACTGCTGTCTCACAAACACTGATGCACATGTGATTGGTGGTTCTGAAGATGGTTTTCTTTACTTCTGGGATCTGGTTGATGCGTCCGTAACATCCAGTTTCAAGGCTCATGCTTCTGTGGTAAAGTTTCTTATTAAAATGCAAGTTTTGGATTTTGAACACATTTATAAGTCCTCTTTAAGTTATTGTTAGTTTTTATTTTCACACATGTTATTATCTCTCATATTACTCAAATTGGGCACTGCTCTAATAAATATTATGTATGTAGTAGTGCATTTGGTGTGGCAGCTTCACCGTAACTCTTATTAAGTGAGAATGTGTAGTAGATTGAGAGTATTTTGGAGTATGTGTAGCATGTAACAATGTAGAAAATTGTTACTACTTTCTACAGCATCCAATCTATTTTAACTCAACTAATCAATTATAATATATGTAATTAGGATAACCTAATCTTTTAATCCATTTGCCAAGAAATTTTGGAAGGTCCACCTGCTACACAACTGCTTACTTTCTGTTTATGTTGGTTGGACCAAATTGTAATTTCTGGAATGAAATAAAACCTTATACTTTGGTTGAATGATATTTTCTACTAAATTTTGTTGGTATTTGACAATCATTGCACTTGTTTCCAACTGCCTCTAACAAACATTGTCTAAAACTGCTTGCCCTTGCCTGGTCTTGTTCCCATTCTCAATTATTTTCATATTCTTACTGAAAGGAAAGATCCATGTATTTAGGATTCAATTTTTATCTATTTCTCTTTATGATTTTGCAAAACTCTTTTACTGCATTCAGGTAACGAGCGTGAGTTATCACCCGAAAGACAGCTGCATGATAACTTCATCGGTTGATGGGACAATCCGGGTTTGGAAAACTTGAAACGACAAACCCAATCCAGCCAAAGACCTAAGATCTTTCAATCTAAATATATCAGCGCTGTAGATGTGCATCGCTCAGTGGGAACTGAACACAACACTTACATTAGTTCAGAGGTGAGAGCCAAGACAAAAATCGCACCTACAGACTGGCCAATAAGAAGCAGCAGGTAAACATAAAACGATAAAAGACAGACTTAGGTGCTGGCTGCATCGCATTATCCACTATCTATATTGGCATAATCATTGACTTGTGTAACTTATGCAACAATTGGCGGACTCCATTCCATAAGCACATGATTTGGGTAGTGAATTTGTCACATGCACCATTATTATGAAATATTTGCTGGAAATTGACCGTTACAGCTCTGGTTGGTGCTGGGTAGCTGTCCATTCAATAGTCTTTGTTTTCTTCTCTTTTTCCAGTTTTCCCTTTCCCGTTGTCATTTTATACCTTTTTTTCCCTCTTTCTTTCATATATGAATAAAATATTTACAAATTTGAACAGTCAGGTTGCTTTCATAGCCTTTATATTAATCATTAATTAATAACCAATTATTTTCACTTTTTATACCCCATCTATGTCAACTTGACATAAAATAAATTTCGGAAAACCATATACTCAGGAAAAAAGGTTATTTTTCTCAAACCTTTTATCCCAAATAACCTAGTAATATATCAATTTATATATACTTAATTTATACCAAGTGACTTGTAGTCCACTGTTATCGGATTGCTCTCTTATGTGGGAGGGCTAGGTTTCGAGCCTCAGTGTAGGTGTAGATTGTATGGGTATCCCCTTCCTTTGTAATAATATATATATATATATATATATATATATATATATATACTTAATTTATGAAATGTGGCGTTTTCCTATTATTTAGTGGATTATTTATCTTTCTTTTTCTTTTCTCTCTTATTTTCCTTTTTATAAAGTGTAACCAGATCTATTTATCTGTTTATTTCTTAATGGATGGTACCAATTTGGACGGAAAGCATAATGAGCTAAGGGGGTGTTTGGTTGGATGGAAAACATTTTTCATGGAAAATGTTTTCCTAAAAGTGAAGGAAAATGATGTTTTATGTTGTTTGGTTGGATGGAAAAAGTTTTCCTTGAGTATGAGGAAAACAAATTCCTAGCTTTTGTTAGGTATTTTGTTTTCTATGGAAAAGGTTTTCCATGGAAAATTAATATGCCAATTTTACCCTCACATTTCTTTATTAATTACTCTTATTATTATTATATTATTATTGTTGTGTAGGGTTATATTTGTCATTATACACATTATTCCTTACCATTCCAAACTCAACCAAACAATGGAATTCATATTCCCAGTAATTTCTTTTCCACCAACCAAACAATGAAATCTATTTTCTTGAAATTTTTTTTCCATGAAATTTCAATTCCATTTCCCTTCAAATATTTTCCAGCGAACCAAACGAGCCCTAAGTGAAGAAAATTAAAAGGTGTTACTTTATGAGAAGAGGAATTCGAATGCAGTTCTTTTTTAACTCTATATTCAGTTTTCATATTTTTCTTTACTAAACATCTAACACCTGATTAAGTAAATTAACAGACGGGTACAGTCGCACAGTACGTAATGAACCATAACTGTTGGACTCGTGACCAAGCTTTTGGACTTTGTATCCCCACACACACACACAAATAATAATAATAATAATAATAATAATAATGATAAATAAATAAGAATATGAAGAGCTCTCCGTGACGCAATAAAAAGCCCCAGCATGTATATAATTTATTTATTACTAACAACAAATATCAAGAGAATTCTAGATCAATACAAATTCATATATATTAGAAGATTGTATTAATGAATCAAACAGCAATAGAGTCAGGAGGGATAGAATCCCAATTCATAGACTGATCCTGAGTAAAAACTAACGAAGTTAGAGTATGAGCATGTAAATTAACTTGCCTAAAAACCTAACTTAATGAGCAACAATTAAATAATGACATAGAAATCCTGCATTGATCCACCACAACCCCAACATAGGACAGGATAAATGTTGTTTCCTGGTGTAAAACACTTCGTATAACCAAGCAATCTGTGAGAATGCTCACCGTTGTGACATTCTTTTCCATAAGCCAAGATAACGCTTCCTTGCAAGCTAGGGTCTCCGCCATAAGTGGTGAAAAACAGGCGGGTAGCCTGCCATTTCTTGCTGACATGAATGAGCTTCTTGAAGAGAGTAACACAATGCCGTACGTGGCCTCCCCGGTGTCCTGCCGGAAACCCGCGTCGACATAGCATCGCGGGCCGCCGTGGTCCTCGATCATTGTTGTTGCTGCTGGCGTGGGCTGTGCAGGGCGGTGATGCACCTGTCGGAAAGAGTGCATGGCGGTGACAGCTCTCCTCCAAACATCGGCTGGGCGTGGGAGAGCCCCCTTCCACATGGCCGAATTTCGGCTTCCCCACAGATGGTACAACACGGCGATCATCACTCCACATTGGTCTTCTGTCAAGACTGCTAATACACCCATAAACCATGTTGGAAAGGAGTTGGTAACAATATTTGTGATTGGTAATTCTGTAACATTCTAAACAAGTCTAGAATATTCACAAAATACTAGAGCATGCATAACATCTTCATGAGGCAAACCACACATTTGGCATGTAGGGCTCACTTCCACCCTCTTTAAAATCAAATTGGTAGTAGTAGAGAGAATATCACAAATTGCTATCCACGAGAATATCTCCCATTTGGGAGGTATAGTTTCCAAAGTATAGCCCATTTATTAAAAGCACCTGGGGCACACACATAATCTCCAACAATATTTCTATAGGCATTCTTTACTGAATAAATTTATTTGGAGTCTCCAAGTCAATACCATGGATCTTCATAATCTGGGCTAACATGAATTTTAGATACACGAGCCGCATCCTAAGTAATTAGTACGGTACGAAGTAATTTTTTCACAGTATTAAATTCTTGTCACCTTTAATTATTATATTTCAATGTGCTGTTTACTTGCTGGTCCTGCTGTTTAAATTCAAATTATTCGTACCACAATGGGTAAAATGCAAAAGAAATTTGATAGTAATGCATTCAATGTAAAAATAAAAATTGATAGTTAATGTGAGAGGACTAAGACCTAAGAGGTGTACATAACAGACAAAAGTGGAAAAAAAAAAACTATTTGACTATTTGTATTTCCACTCCAAAATAATTTTCCATAAAAATATAAAAAGAAGAATAACGGAAACATCGGGATGTTGATCCAGTGTGAAAATGGTGGCAAAAGTCCTGAAAAGAAACGTAAACTCACATTTACATATTTTCTTCAACATTGCTGAGCTGGTTTCACTATCCTTCTCTCTCTACATTTACAGCCAGAGAGAGAGAGCTGCTCGGGGACAATATAACGCGGCAGGCAGGGCCCCACCCAATTTACCCGTACTCGCCAACACACAGGCCACAAATATAGATACGGTGTACAAATTTGTGTTTGTACTTCGTATAATCCCTTTTAGATTCTTTCTTTGAGAGCTGAGAGTGCCCCTTCCCCACGCCTACGTTTTTTAGTCATTATCTGAAGAGTTTATATTATATTAGATCAATTTATTTGATTTTAGTCGGTAAAGAATTAGAAAGAGAAGGTAAATTAGTCTAGAGTGTTTATAGTTAATTGATTTTTGTTAAAGTTTATAATTTTGTGATTATCAAATTTGATGAATTTGACTAAGTTGCCTTTATTGGTTTTTCATTTTATCAGAAGTCGTGTCAAGACTTGATTGATCTCTGACTATACCAACTTTATATCACTTTTTAGTCCAACTCCAGCTAAATTACAGCGTGAATGCTTTGCTTGTTCATGAATGTAAACCCATAGCTCACAATCTCACACTCATCTTTTAACTTTTTTTGGGATTTGTTTTGAGGATTCTTTGGATTTACTCCCTATTATTAACTTACGCGTACTCTAATTACTTAAATCATTGGAATTCTCCAGCTTTCTATTAATCATTTCGGCCCCCTTTTTCTTTTTAATTGGCATTGCCTTTTTCTCTCACCAGCTGCTTTTCCTTCTTGTTGGGTTTTGATGGGGGGTTTACGCTAAAAGGGGGAACCTTTGGGTTTAGTTGATTATTGGCACTGAAAGCTTGAATCTTTGACCTGGATTCTTGGGTAATTTCAGTATCCGTGATTTCGTGGAGGTTCTGGGAATGGCTATGAATACTGGAGGAAGACTTATTGCTGGTTCTCACAATAGGAATGAGTTTGTGCTCATCAATGCCGATGAAATCGGTAAAGTAAGTCTCTTAAAACCGTTTTTTTTTTGTTCTGTTTGGTTCTAACTTCTATGCATATTTTGATTATTATGACTTCTAATCATCCTTTCAGAAATTTTATAACTAGGGTTTCTGGTGATAGTCTAATGCTGTATCTCCTTGAGTATCTGAGACTGGGTTTTCAGACTTCTTAATTTGCATAGAGGAGCTCTAAAAATATTCTACTTTTATTATTATTATTATTTTATTTTTTTTCCTGGTATTTGATTGGAGGATTGCTTTGAGCTGTGTCTGTAGTGTTTTTTTTGTGCTACAGTAAGCATTTACTTTCTTACTTTTTAATTTTTTAATTTTGCTTTAGGAGTGATCTCCATGTCTATATTATGATAATTACTGCAACTAAAATTTAAAAAATAAAATAAAAAAATAGCACTATTTTCTGCAGGTGTGTTTGTGTTAACAAACTCTCCATTGCAGTCACTTATGGATGTGAATATAACTTTAAAACACCTGGATTTTCTTGTCCATTTACTTGTCCCTTGTAATCTTCTCCTGTTTGGGAGTGTCATGAAGAACTCATATCAAGATACTAATGGTTAATTTCTTGAAGTGGGGATAAAATGGTTGCTAAAAGCTTGGTTAAGTTCTCAATTTATCGTCTTTGGAGATATATTTGGGAATTCCACTGATTATTGTTTGAAAAGTAGATTAGAAAGATCATGTAGAGATAGAAATCCTATAAGGTGATACTTATGTTTTACATAGATTATTGACATTTAGGTGCTGATTGTAGTATGATCGTTGTTTTGATGACAATTCTATTCCAGATAAAATCAGTGCGGGAATTAAGTGGCCAAATATGCCAGATTTGCGGGGATGAGATAGAGATCACAGCAGAGGGAGAAGTCTTTGTTGCTTGCAACGAATGTGCTTTCCCTGTATGCCGGCCTTGCTACGAGTATGAGAGAAGAGAGGGAAACCAGGCCTGCCCTCAGTGCAAAACTAGGTACAAGCGTCTCAAAGGCAAGTGATGTCTTCTCTCTTTGCGTGAAACGCTCTCATTGGAGGAGACGTACTTATTTTTACGAACTATGGAAGTAATATATTGCGTGGACTGTGTAGGTAGTGCTCGGGTTGACGGGGATGAGGAAGAAGATGGCATTGATGACTTAGAGCATGAGTTTGACTGTGATGTTGAAGCTTTGGGCGGTGCTGGGACAGTTCCTTCTTCCCATTGCCATGGCGGTCATGCTAGTTCATCTGGAAACGAAGCATCTAGCCCTGGGTTAGAAATCCCTCTTTTGACCTATGGTGAAGAGGTAATTAACCGTCATGTCTTGTGCATAAATGAACTGTCCTCGGCATGGTTGCAGTAGGCGCTAGAGCGCTAGTCAGGTGGTAGAGTAGCGCCTAGGCGGGTGCCTATGCGACTTACTAAAAAAGAAAAAACACTGCACGTGTATATATATATATATATATATATATATATATATATATATATATATATATATATATATATATATATATATATATATAATGAAAAAAAATTAGCAAGATTTAGCCGACCGGGTTAACTCAACTCAGCTAACTCGACCGAGTCGGCCAAGTTAGGCGCTAGGCAGCCGAGTCGGCCAAGTTAGGCGCTTGGCAGGCGCCTAGATCGATTTTTGCAACAGTGGTCCTCGGTTTTGTTGTCCATGTCATGTGTCTTACTTGCTGGCTCTTTTCCCTGTTCTAGGACGTTGAAATCTCCTCCAATCATAATGCACTCATACTACCTTCATCTGCTAGTGTTGTAAATGGCGCTTCTCCTTATGGCGAGCCATCTGCATCTGGTAAGTTATTCTGGTCTATCCAATTTCGTTTCTCTAGAATGTCATTTTTTTAAAAGAGAGAACCGCTAAATTCTTTGTCTATCAGCGCAATGTAGGCCAATGGTTCCAGAGAAGGACATTGCATTATATGGCTATGGAAGTGTGGCATGGAAGGACCGCATGGAGGACTGGAAGAAAAAGCAGGGCGACAAGCTTCAGGTGGTAAAGCATCAGGGCGGAAGCATTGATGGAAATGAATTTGACGATACTGATTTGCCAATGTAAGGAAACGGGTCAAGTTTATACTATAAGCCCGAGTTGTCTATTGAATCAAATCGTAATGGATGAATTTGTTAACCAGCGTTTTGGAAATGTGTTCTCAGGATGGATGAAGGGAGACAGCCCCTGTCGAGAAAATTGCCGATTCCTTCAAGCAAAATAAGCCCATACAGGATTCTAATTATTCTCCGCCTCGTCATTCTTGGCTTGTTTTTCCATTATCGGATTCTTCATCCAGTTGCAAATGCGTATGGTTTGTGGTTGACTTCAGTGATTTGCGAGATATGGTTTGCGGCATCATGGATTCTCGATCAGTTCCCAAAGTGGTACCCAATAGTTAGAGAAACATACCTTGATCGGCTATCGCTTAGGTAGATGGTCTCGATAATTAGATGTTATTTACACATCGAATATACGTCTTTTTGCAATATCTAAACTTGAAAGTCTCTAGTAGTAATTATTAAGAAGAGAATGTGATTTTCCTCCTACTTGCTACCTTTTTAGGTACGAGAGAGAAGGAAGGGCGTCTGAACTGGCGCCTATTGACGTTTTCGTCAGCACAGTTGATCCAATGAAAGAGCCTCCGTTAATCACTGCAAATACAGTTTTATCCATTCTTGCTGTGGATTATCCTGTCGAAAAAGTATCGTGCTATGTCTCGGATGATGGTGCTGCAATGCTTACGTTTGAAGCCCTTTCCGAGACATCTGAATTTGCTAGGAAATGGGTTCCCTTCTCCAAAAAGTTTAATATCGAACCCCGGGCTCCAGAATGGTATTTTTCTCAGAAAATTGACTATCTGAAAGACAAAGTTAACCCGGCATTCGTCCGGGAACGGCGTGCAATGAAGGTACTTATACTCCCACTTCTTTTAATTTATTCTATCTATCCCCGATTTCTGTTGATTCATTGATTTCGTTATTCATATAGAGAGAATATGAAGAATTTAAAGTTCGGATAAATGGTTTGGTTGCAATGGCACAAAAAGTTCCCGAGGAAGGCTGGACAATGCAGGATGGTACTCCTTGGCCGGGAAACAATGTCAGAGATCATCCCGGTATGATCCAGGTTAGTAAGAATCTAAATATTAATAACCTTTACGATCTCTTGTTCTTAGTATCTCGGCTAAGATTCGTCGTGTATGTAGGTTTTCCTTGGTCAAGATGGCGTTCGAGATATTGAAGGAAATGAGTTGCCTCAGTTGGTTTACGTTTCTCGTGAAAAGAGACCTGGATTCGATCATCACAAAAAAGCGGGAGCGATGAATGCGTTGGTAAGCTCATTATTATCACTTAACAATGGCGTGTACATGCTAGCGGGTTTGGTAATAAATGAAGAATATTAATTGATTAATGCAATGAAATTTTTCCCGACATTAGGTGCGGGTTTCGGCCGTTATCTCGAACGCTCCTTTCCTTCTGAATGTTGACTGCGACCATTATATCAATAATAGCAAAGCGTTGAGAGAGGCCATGTGTTTTATGATGGACCCCACTTCCGGGAAGAAAATCTGCTACGTGCAGTTTCCGCAAAGGTTTGACGGGATTGATCGTCACGATAGATACTCGAACCGAAATGTTGTATTTTTTGATGTATGTATCTCTCCCTTTTTTATTTATTTTTTTGTTAAATTACAGTATTCTTTTCTCACCGTCTTGACCGTAAAAACAGATTAACATGAAAGGCTTAGACGGTATACAAGGACCAATTTACGTTGGAACTGGATGTGTATTCAGAAGGCAAGCACTTTATGGATATGATGCTCCTTCGAAGAAGAAGCGGCCAAGTAAAACTTGCAATTGTTGGTCGAAATTGTGTTGCTGTTTTGGGCGTAAAAAGAACGGGAAAGGAAAAACAAAGAGAAATACGAAGAAGAAAACAAAGCAGAGGGATACGTCGAAACAAATACATGCACTTGAGACGATTGAAGAAGGAATTGAAGGTAAGCTAAGGTTTATGTAAATGTATTTATCGTTAACACACTGCCCGTTCATATGATAATTTGGGATAACTTGAATGCAGAAACGAGTGTTGATCCATCTCAGGCTTCCCAAACTAAGCTCGAGAAAAAATTCGGCCAATCTCCTACTTTTATAGCCTCGACGCTTTTAGAAAATGGAGGTGTTCCCAATGCTGCTAGTGCCACGACACTCCTAAAAGAAGCCATTCATGTTATCAGCTGCGGTTATGAAGATAAATCGGAATGGGGAAAGGAGGTAAGGAACGAGAAATACGTCTCTTGCCGGTTAATGTTTTTCGTATAACGTCTTTGCTGACAAGTACTTGAATGTTTAAACAGGTTGGCTGGATTTATGGGTCCGTTACGGAAGATATCTTGACGGGATTCAAGATGCATTGCCATGGTTGGCGGTCTGTGTATTGCATGCCTAAACGACCTGCATTCAAGGGTTCCGCTCCTATCAATCTCTCGGACCGTCTCCACCAGGTTCTCAGATGGGCTCTTGGATCCGTCGAGATTTTACTCAGCAAGCATTGCCCGATATGGTATGGCTATGGAGGCGGCTTGAAGTTTCTGGAAAGGTTTTCGTACATAAATTCTGTTGTATATCCTTTGACCTCCATTCCTTTGATCGTGTACTGTTCCTTACCGGCCATCTGCCTCCTCACCGGGAAATTTATTGTTCCCGAGGTAACTTCATGACTCTTTTATATTTGTACATCTTGTTCCATCCATGAACTTAGGGACTCTGGGTGTTATAAACTAAGATTGAGCTAGGGTCACTCAACTGGGCTATAGTGCACATGGGCCAAACCACAATAAAAGATTGAATCCAACCAATTAGCTAGTCTAACTCATGGCCTGTGTTGCAAAAATCGCGCCTAGGCGCTAGGCGGTCGGCCTCCTAGGCCGTCCCAGGCGCCTAGCGTTTCAACATTGCTCATGGCCTTATAAACCCATATGTTCTCTCTTATTCTCTTAACAGTGATGATGTTTTGACACGTCATTCACTTATTGTCTACTTTTTTATCCTAAAGGAACTCGTGTATGAGGTTTGGCTAACTAGTCTTCGTTTACCAGATCAGTAATTACGCGAGCATTGTGTTCATGGCGATGTTCATCTCTATTGCTGCCACGGGTATCCTTGAGATGCAATGGGGTGGCGTTGGAATAGACGACTGGTGGAGAAACGAGCAGTTCTGGGTAATTGGCGGTGCTTCCTCGCACCTCTTTGCTCTCTTCCAAGGTTTGCTCAAGGTACTGGCCGGAGTCGACACGAATTTCACTGTCACGTCGAAAGGAGGCGACGACGGGGAATTCTCCGAGCTCTATATCTTCAAGTGGACATCGTTGTTAATACCCCCGATGACTTTACTCATAATAAACATAATCGGGGTCGTGGTTGGTGTCTCGGATGCAATCAACAACGGGTACGATTCTTGGGGCCCCTTGTTCGGTAAGCTGTTCTTTGCTTTCTGGGTCATCGTTCACCTCTACCCGTTCCTGAAAGGTCTGATGGGAAAGCAAGACCGCACCCCGACCATAGTCGTGGTGTGGTCGATCCTCCTGGCTTCGATATTGACCCTGCTGTGGGTAAGAGTCAACCCCTTCGTCTCGAGAGACGGGCCCGTATTAGAAATCTGCAATCTGAACTGCGATGACCGATAGAAATCTGCGGGTCTGAATAGCGTCGACTGAGAGTGATGCCACGAGCCCTTTAGTCGTCGTCGTTGGACATGGCTTCTCAGCCAGAAATATATTATAGTGTGTTCTGAGATTATTATTTGTCACAAGAGAAGATAGAAGGGAATAAAGAGTAGGGGGGGTGATGGAGCTGTGTAGATATGAAATATCCATACAGTATTTGTTTAGCAATTGTTTCATTTGTTAAGTTGTATGTTTATTGATTTTTTTTGCATTTTGGTATAATCTCCTCTCCTCTTCAAAGGAGTGTAAATTTTGTTCCATTACTGTAAGTGAAGAAGATTGTGTTCTATATTATTGGAATCTGGTTCTGGATCTGATATTATAGGATCAAATTCATCTACTGACCAAGGACCAAATAACAATATTCTGAGTAATTTTTTGAATTTTAGCATTAAAATCTGATTTAACTGAGCAAGGACCAATTTGAATAGGACCAAAGTTGTTTTTAGTAGCTTTTTGAATTTTAACATTTTAGATTTACAAAAAGCTGATTAACCAAACACTTATATTGTTCTTTAACTAAGTCAAACGGCTAATAGTGGTCAAATAAGTTAAAATTAACTAATAAATTAATTATTTTACTAAACAAAGTCAATGACTAATCTCCTTGCTAAATTGTAAGGCCGAATTGAATCCTTGACATTTGGTTAAAGGATTTTCCACTCAACCACACTCAAGATTAACAAAGAAGCTCATTAGATAACTTTTTAATGACACATTTCAAATTCATTAAAAATTGAAATATATTTATAATAGCTCATTAATTATATAACTTTTAAGTGACACATTTTAATGTGAAACAAAAGTATTTTGTATTTTTTTTTTGTCTATTAGTGAATAATAATGTAGTGATTTTATCGTCATTTTCAGTTGAATTTGTCGAACAAAACTTTTATGATGCGATTTACCTCTCCCCTAATCTCCTATCTAATGTAAGAATTTTAATTTTTGTGGACAAACAAATAAAAGACAAATAGTACTTTGAATACGACAAATTATTGTGTGGACTACGGTTTAAAACGGCGTCGTTTTGATGTTTTAAAAAAATTATTATTCCGTACTCGTGTTAGAATAATAAACATTATGGGGTAAAATAATGTACTTTATCTATTAGAATAATAAAATATTTTAAGTAAGATAATGTATTTTATGAGTTGGAATGTACTCTATGAATTAGAATAATGTATAATGTACTTTTGAGTTAATTACCGAAATGGTTCCCTGACTATAGCGAAATTACCAATTTGGTCCTTGCCTATTTTTTGACTAATTAAGTCCCTCAACTTGAAAAATCTTAACTAATTTGGTCCTCCGTTTGTTTGACCGTTAGTCAACCGTTAACTTGGGACCAAATTGGTAATTTGCTATAGTCAAGGGACCATTTTGGTAATTAACTTTAAGGGTCGACAATTCACTTCAGTTTTCTCGAACCGAAACGTACCAAACTAGTTAGATTCGGTAATATACCGAACAACCGAACGGTAATAGATTTTTGTATACCGAACGGTTCGGTAAAAACTCGAACCGAACTGAATTGTTCGGTAAAAATCGAACTGAACTGAATCTCGTTTGAACTTTGGATTGCTATTTTGTTATATATTAGACTTTGGATATGGACTATGTGAACATAATAACACATAATATAGAACTTTTGATAACAAACCATAAAGAAATCAAATAAAACATTTACGAGAGATACCTGTGAGAATATGAGCTGAACAGCAGAGCAAGCAACAAGGGACTTGGATTTACTTTGTATTTATTTATTTATTTTATTATTATTATTATTATTATTATTATTATTATATTTAAAAAAAAAAACAAACAAACGGTATTCGGTTTAGTTCAATTTTTTACCGAATAATTTGGATTGGATCGGATCAGATTTTTTATCTAACCGTTCGGTATACAAGAATCCAATATCGTTCGGTTGTTCTGTATTTTACTTCGGTACGGTTCGAAAAAACTAAATCGAATTGCCCACCCCTAAAGTTAATTACCAAAATGGTCCCTTGACTATAGAGAAATTATCAATTTAGTCCTAAGTTAACGGTTGACTAACGGAAGACCAAATTTGTTAAAAATTTTAAAGTTGAGGGACTTAATTGATTAAAAAAAATAGTCAAGGACCAAATTGATAATTTCGCTATAGTAAATGGACCATTTTAGTAATTAACTATGTACTTTATGTGAGGAAATAATGAAATTTTTGTGATAAGATAATACTCTATATATTTTATGAATTAAAATACCGTTGTCCACATGTTTATATAGACCACGGTTCACACAATAATGATTACTTTAAATACCGAAACGAACATACCTAAAGGGCTAAAATCTTTAATATAATCAGCGCAATTGGTGCAATTCGTGGTCCCACTTCAATAGGCTCTTACGCACTCTTCAATTTTGCCCGCCATTCCATTCTTTGGCGGGGAAATTCAGACCTACTCTCCTTCCGAGGAGGGAAACTTCAAAAAATCAAAACCCTAAATCTCAACTTATACATATATACACCAACACATATCCCGCTCAGTTCACGATCATCACCAAGAAAGAAGTAAAGAACGATCATTGCTACCGGTTCTAGTCTGAATCAGAGCTGTTTGACAAAAGTCCTGATCGGAGAGATGTATGTGATCAAGAGAGATGGGCGTCAGGAGGCCGTGCACTTTGACAAGATCACCGCTAGGCTTAAGAAGTTGAGCTATCGACTCAGCCCCGACCACTGTGACCCCGTGCTTGTTGCCCAGAAGGTCTGTGCGGGCGTCTACAAGGGTGTCACCACTAGCCAGCTCGACGAATTGGCCGCAGAGACCGCAGCCGCCATGACCACTAACCACCCTGACTACGCATCTGTACGTTTCAATTTCCTATCCTCTTTTACGATTCCATACTTCTCTATGTGTTAAGTAACATTTTGGGTTGTAGGGTGGTTTAGTTATCTCTTAAACTCTGGTGTTTCACATGCTTTTGCTGTCATTTTCATTGTTCATACCTGTATCATCAGTCCTGGATTCATGCCTGTTTATTGTATTGAAAAGTTTAATTTTTGTCGTTGATCTGTTGATTGGGGTCTATATTGGTCAATTTGATTGAGTTTTGCATTTTATTTGCTGAGAGGGTTAAAATATTACCTACTGTGTTTTGCTAGTTAGTAGTGGATTCACACAATTCTCTATCCAGGTGATATATGATCTGATATCATTTTTTTTTCTTCTTTTCAGTTCCCCTTCCCTCTGCTATAATTTGAGCTGTCTTTGTGTTATTGTCATAATCTATGTGCAGGGTTGGTTTTGTAATGAGGAAAAAGTAATGGTTTATGAAATTTATCTTGCACTTGCTTTTGTAGCCTGATAGTTGTTAATTGCATACCAAGTTTTGGCCTAAGTTTCATATGAGCTACATGCTTCACACTCTAGGGCGGAAATGGAAGTGCTTGAACTTGTTTGTTATCTAATTGTTTTATTATTACAGTTGGCAGCAAGGATTGCTGTTTCTAATCTCCACAGTAATACTAAGAAATCATTTTCTGAGACGTAAGTTCTTTAATTGTTTGAGATTGTTTTCCCGTTTTCAATGTTAGTTTAAAGTCTAAATGACCAAAAAAACTGGTTTATCTTTATGATGGCTACAGGGTTAAAGACATGTATTACCATATCAGTGAGAGATCTGGACTTAAAGCGCCTCTCATTGCTGATGATGTTTATGAGATAATCATGAAGGTATTGTTGCTTAACATTTTGCTTGTTAAAATGCACTTAGGTGTGTGCCTTGTGATGAATAATTACAGCAAAAATTTGTTGTATAACAATGATTATTATGCCTTCTTATTTTGATAAGTTGTTTAAATCTCTAAATGATTAATAGCTTGATGTCTGCAAACCAGTTCTATCTTTTTCTCCATCACATAAGGTTTCATTTCCCCAGAAAATGCTTAAATCCCACTGCTCTGTTGCGGTGTTGCCTATTTAACCAAGAAAGAAGTATCTTCTGTAAACCTTCCCTGCCAAGTTTGCTGCCTTGAATTGTAATACATAACTTTCTCGGGAGCCCTTATTGTTCCAACTTGCTTGTCTTTTTATCGAACTTATTGATTTGGTCATCTATAAAGCTCTAGCAAATAGGTTGAGAATTTAATGCACCATTGCCATGTACTATTTGCAGTCATTGGGGTGGTACTCACTGTGTCAGGTTTTTTAATTTTTAAGGTATGCCTGCTTTTGCCTTTTGGTCCTAGTGATTCTTGACCATTCCTTTCTTTTGTCTTGCAGAATGCTGCTCGTCTGGATAGTGAAATCATATATGACCGAGACTTTGATTATGATTATTTTGGTTTCAAAACCCTTGAAAGGTCTTACCTCTTGAAGGTTCAGGGGAAAGTTGTGGAAAGGCCACAACACATGTTGATGAGAGTTTCTGTTGGGATCCACAAGAATGATATTGAATCTGCCATCAGGACATACCACTTGATGTCTCAAGGATGGTTCACTCATGCTTCTCCAACACTTTTTAATGCTGGAACTCCAAGGCCCCAGGTTAGTCAACTTTCTTATTAGAATAGTTAGCTTATTTGCTTAAATCTGTATTAGTCTGTTGTAATAAATCAACTTTCCATTTTAAACAATGGAGCTCTGATGATTTTTATGCCCTTTTAGTTATACTAATGCAGATATTCTTGATTGCTTCTTGTTATGCTTGCAGTTAAGTAGCTGCTTCCTTATCTGCATGAAAGATGATAGCATTGAGGGTATATATGATACTCTAAAGGAGTGTGCTGTAATTAGCAAGTCAGCGGGTGGAATTGGTGTCTCTGTGCATAACATCCGTGCTACTGGGAGTTACATTCGTGGGACGAATGGAACATCCAATGGAATTGTTCCAATGCTACGTGTGTTCAATGACACTGCAAGATATGTTGACCAGGGAGGTGGCAAAAGAAAAGGTATGCAATTGGATTCTACTGTAGAATTGTCAATTATGGTCATGCATCCTGCTAATTTTTTGTTTTATGTTTGTGCTGCATGTAGGTGCTTTTGCTGTGTATCTTGAGCCATGGCATGCGGATATCTTTGAGTTTCTTGATTTAAGAAAAAATCATGGAAAGGTATGACTGGCCTAATTGTACTCTAATATTACCTACATTTGAACTATGAAGTACTTAGTAGATAATGGTGCTCCTTCTTTCAGGAAGAACATCGTGCACGAGATCTCTTTTATGCTCTCTGGGTTCCTGATCTCTTTATGGAAAGAGTGCAGAGTAATGGGCAGTGGTCTTTATTTTGTCCAAATGAGGCACCTGGATTGGCAGATTGCTGGGGTGAAGAATTTGAGAAACTTTATACAGAATATGAAAGAAAGGTAATTGTCACATTATTCAAACACACTGAACCTGTTCTTGATACTTGGTTCTGAGGCTTTTTATGGACTCAGGGCAAGGCAAAGAAAGTTGTACAGGCACAAAATCTCTGGTTTGAAATCTTGAAGTCTCAGATAGAAACTGGTACTCCCTACATGCTATATAAGGTTAGTTCTATACTCTTTATATGCTAAAGACTTGATCTGATTCTTCATTTGCATTTTAGTTTTTAGTTAACCTTGTTTTCACTGTAATAGGACTCTTGCAACAAAAAAAGCAACCAGCAGAATCTTGGTACTATTAAGTCTTCTAACTTGTGTACTGAGATTATTGAGTATACAAGCCCAACGGAAACTGCTGTCTGCAATCTGGCTTCAATTGCTTTGCCACGATTTGTCAGGGAAAAGGTAATTTACTTGAGTCCATGGGATACATATTTAGTGCTGTTACTGTTTAATAAATAAAAGACATGTTCTCTGAATCAACTTCCTGCTTCTTATCTTGCAGGGGGTTCCAATTGAATCACAACCATCTAAGCTTGTTGGAAGCAGAGGCTCTATAAATCGATACTTTGATTTTGACAAACTGGCAGAGGTTTGACTTGTTCCATAAGTAATTGCTTCATATCTTTCTTAATGTTATAATTTATAAATTTGGTGGTAATGTGTTCCTTCTTATTAATACAGGTTACTGCAATAGTTACAACTAACCTGAACAAAATTATTGATGTCAACTTTTATCCTGTTGAAACTGCAAAGAACTCTAATTTGCGTCACAGGCCCATTGGGATTGGTGTCCAAGGTCTTGCTGACACATTCATTTTACTCGGCATGGCTTTTGATTCACCAGAGGTGAACTACCTTGATGCAACAGTAATTCCTTCTTCTTGATGCATTATTTCTTTTGTTCTGATACATCATCTGATGTGCAGGCCCAGGATCTAAACAAAGACATATTTGAAACAATATACTACCATGCTCTGAAAGCTTCTTCTGATTTGGCTGCAAAGGAAGGCCCTTATGAAACCTATGAGGGTAGTCCCATTAGCAAGGTATATGTTAGTGTTTCTGCAATTTTTTTGCTTTAATCAGTTAGAGTAGTCATTGCAAGTTAAATTTGCCAGAGTTTATATATGATTTTGCAATGGTTACACCTGTAGATAGGTTTCTGATTAAAATGATTGATTTTATTGTTCAGGGTACCCTCCAGCCAGATATGTGGGGAGTCACCCCCTCAAATCAATGGGATTGGGTTGCTCTCCGAGCAATGATAGAAAAGAATGGAGTAAGGAATTCTCTTCTTGTAGCACCAATGCCCACTGCTTCAACAAGCCAAATTCTTGGAAATAATGAATGCTTTGAGCCATACACTTCCAACATTTACAGCCGCAGAGTTCTAAGGTTTCTTTGCCCACCAGATTCTGTTAGTTCACATTTTAGTTTGCTACCTATCCAATTCTAACTACTGTTGTATTTTGACAGTGGCGAATTTGTTGTGGTAAACAAACATCTTCTTCATGACTTAACTGAGATGGGTCTTTGGTCACCTGCACTTAAGAACCAGATTATATATGAGGATGGATCTGTGCAGAAAATCCCTGAAATTCCTGACGACCTTAAATTAATCTACAAGTAATTTTCTCATCCATTTTATCTTTTTCATATTATTCTCCATTCATTGGCTAATAATGTACTCATGTTAGGACTGTGTGGGAGATCAAGCAAAGGACTTTGGTTGATATGGCTGCTGATCGTGGATGCTACATAGACCAGAGCCAAAGCCTTAACATCCATATGGACCAACCCAATTTTGGAAAGCTTACTTCCATGCATTTTTATGCTTGGTCCAGGGTATGTTATCTGTGTTCAAATCACTTCATATCTCTCCAACTCTGATTTGTCTCGGTGTTCTGATCGTCTATCTTATTTAAACGGACACGCAGGGTCTGAAAACTGGAATGTACTATCTCAGATCACGTGCAGCGGCTGATGCTATCAAGTTCACTGTTGATACTTCCATACTCAATGTAGCCCCCTTGCTGCTATCATTTCCTCTTATTGCCATCTTTCTATTTAATCTCCTAGTCTCAAAGAAGTCTATTGTGTTTTATTGCAGGAAAAAACTAAAACAGCTGTTGATGATGAAACCAAAATGGCACAAATGGTGTGCTCTTTAACAAACCGAGAAGAGTGCATGGCTTGTGGAAGTTAAAGAGAGTGAGTGAGTGAGTCATCTTCTCAAACCAAGAGACCTTGAGATTTTCTGCTTGGGGTTTTTGGTAGTCTTTCACTGGTATATTATGATGTTATGTTGACAGTTAAACACTAGTTGTGAGATATTTTACGTATATATTATGTGTATAGAAGTTGCAGTTACACCTCGTCTGCAAGCTTATGCGTTGTTTACTATCTGAGCTTTGGCTTGAAATGCCATATTAGTGTTACTCTTTTGTTATGTATCATAGGAGAAAACGTAATGAATAGTGATATTCAATATTTTGTTACTTTTATGGTCCGTTTGGTTCACGGAATAGGCCGGGAATGACATAGTATTTCTAGAAATAGGCTTATTTTTTTTGTTTGGTAACCGTTTCTATTACTAGGAATAATATTTCTAAGTAATAGCCTATTCCTCCAATCTTCTTAAATCACGAGTTGTTCAGTTAAACCACGAGGTGTCTTGGTTAGACTTATAAGTATTTTTAAACTCATACAAAGTGTTAGTCATTTTAAAAAATGAGAATCAAGAATTCAATATGGTTATGGCCGATCCCGTGCTCGTGCGTTCATGAGTTAGCTTTTTTTTTTTTTTTTTTTTTTTTTGAACTTGGGCTCAGCCAAGTGTTAGACCCGTGGCTCATTTGTTTGGAGATAGGCGAGGTCGGACCCCGTATTGCCTTTAGGGCGTAGCGATTTTTGATCGAAGTCGCTCGACTTTGGACCCAGAAAATTGGCCGGGACCATACCATCACCGCGAGGCCGGCCGAGACCTCTTTGAGAGGTTGTTTGAACCCCCTCGAAAGGTCCGAGAGGTCGGTTGTTACCTCCTCGAGAGGTTGGCTTAGATCTCCTCGAGAAGTCGGCCGAGACCTTGTCGAGTGGCGAACGAGGTCGGACCCCAACTCCCCTTAGGATAGTCCTTCGACCCCAAGTTATCGGACTTGGACCGTTAAGCTCTTCCGTCATGTGGTGAGTGAGGTCGGATCTCGTGCTCCCCTTAAAAATAACAAAGTGTTGGTCATTTTAAAAAATGAGAATCACGCAATTCAATATGGTTATTCTAAAATTTATTTAAGACAGTGATTAAATTTGGTTGCTTGTAAAAATATTTAATCTTTTATTATTAACTTATTTTAAGATGTTAAATTGAAAATTAAAGAGGAGTGGTCTTAGAATCTAATCACGGAAAAAAATGGAGATACAGTTTTGTATGATCTAAGATGTTTCAAAATTAGTTGGTTGTGATTTGTCAGTAGTCCCGTGACATGGTAACCAAAGAGTTTGTATCCAATCTTGTCTTGTTCCAAACCTCCCATCTTTCTACTGTCCCTTTCTTCATGGTCATTAACGTTTACTTTGACTCCACCACACTCTACATATTATAGAGGGAAGACTCGGTAAAACAAACGTACATTTCAGGACTTTCGATCATATAAATCCAATTTCATTAACAAGAATGTAAATACCTTTCATATTTATTCTAAATTCTTTGGACGGTTACCTCATACCTATCCGCTTTGGTTGTCGACTCTCGACTCTGCAACCAATAATGTTAATAGTATAGCTCACTTTCATTTGAAGTCGAATTTAAAATCTTGTGATTACCAATTTAATTTTTTGATCAACTATTGTACTGTTACATTTACATAGTAGTTGTCATAAATTGTGGTAATTAACATATCCATTGATTGTATTAAAAATTAAAACTATCGCTTTGAAAGAGGTGACCAAGTGAGCCGAGTATGATTCTCATATATGAAGGTCACGAGTTAAATTCTTGCCAACACCCTCTTGGATGAGTCTGTTACATTGATTTTTTTCTAGTGAAGTTTACATATTCTATGCGGTTTGATTATTACACAAGAATATTGGAATTATATTCTCAGTTTGAGCCGATCGATTATGAATAAAATAGACTGATTTATCTCATTCTGATCCTTTGATTGGTAGAGTTATATAACAAATTTACTCATAACATATTTTTGAATAGTGGCTACAATAAAAAACTTGTACTATGGTAAGAGTTAATTTCATTAGATGTCCCTTCTATTTGGTGTCAATTCCAAATTTACTATCGTTTTTTCATTTAATATTTCAGACTATTATTTTTTGGACACTTTTAATCATTCTCATGACTTTTTCTATTTTTAGTAAGGGCATTTTTGTCTCTTTATATTTTTCTTTTATTATTTTTTTGGTTTCAACCGGTTTAATTGGTTTAGAACTTTACTAAAAATCGATTAAAAAATATGATTACTAAAAATCATAGGTTAACTAAAGTTCTAAACCGAAAAATAACAAAAGAAAAATATAAAAACAAAAATATCCTTACTAAAAATAGACAAAATAATGAGAAAAATTAAAAGTGTCAAAAAAATAATAGTCTCAAATGTTAAATGACAAAATGATAAATTCTAAACTAAATTTAAAATTGTCACCAAAGACAAAAGATGGTAGAATTAACTCACTATGATAACTATGGAAACATCTAGAAAAACAGTGATAAAACCGTGTTCGGTGTCGACTGTATTGACTGAAGTCAACGTTATGTTCAACCTAACTGCCGCTCCGCTACCCATACTGTCGACTGCTAGTGGAAGGTCAAAACTGTTACTAATGAATGTAACCGACCAGGTATAAAAAGGACATGTAAAATTTATATTTTCGAAATAGGATCACACTTGTGTAAGATCATATCGTCTCATAAATCCTTATTCGTGAGACGAGTCAAGTTGATTCAATATTCAAATGTCATATTTATATGATCAAATGTAATACTAATTAAGAATAAAATGTTTGTTACTCATAAGAAAAAATGTAATACTTTTACATTTTTCCTAGTTAATAACTAATATTGGTAAGTGTCTATTACGTATAACAGAAAATATAATATTTTTGAAGAAAAATGTAATAATTTTAAATCAAAATGGAAAGATATTATATTATATTTTTCATATATGTAATAAAAACTTTATTCCTCTTGAATGAGTTAGAATAATATAATGCATTTTATGAGTTAGACTAATGTAATATATATATATATATATATATATATATATATATATATATATATATATGAACAAATGTGAACTATGTTTTTCGTGATAAGTGTGGACTAATTTGATCCATCTATCTAAGATGATCAGTATTAGTATAAGTGAATCAACTTAGAAATTCTATGCATCTATTTCTTTAATGTAACAAAACTAATTAGACTAAATTGTTCTTTTTGCAAACTAACCCCAATAACCCAATTGTACATGAGACATTACCAATAAAAAAACGGACAAGTAATATGAAGACGAAGACAATGACAAATCTATCCAAAAATGAATTAACAAAACTTAAAGTAATTCCAACCAAAAGTAGTATCTACTTCCTAATATGTACCATATCAACTGCAATAAATATTTAAATAATTATTTTTTTAAAAATGCAAATTAAACATTAATTTTAATACCAACTATAATGAACGTCTCTTATATAATCTTACATTGATATAGTTTGAATTCCTTATTAAAATACAAATATTAGGCATTAAATCAGTCACGCAATGTGCGTGAAAAACTAGTATATAATAATAATATATAATGAGTAAACTTAACCAACATAATTTGCATGATAGTTCAACACCTTGTCCCTTAAACATGAGGTTGAGGGTTCAATAACGAAATTTGTCTTCAAAACACATTCAATTGATCAACCACCCCAAAATAAATTCACACATTTTGTTTTAAAAGCAGTCGCATGATGTCGGCTTTGAGTATTACTAAGAACAACAAGAAAATGTATGTATGGATTTGACACATCTGCAATTTATGTCCTAACTTATATTTAAGGCATTTAAAGTCAACTTCATTTAATACATTCAAATGGATTTTTCTAATTTCAAAGTGAAACATCGTAATGGGCCTCTCCATACCGTATTAATTGGGTAAAATTGACCCTAAAATAAAATATGAAACCACCACTTTGGAATATATAGATCCTCTTTGATAAAATAGTTAATCTATAGATCAATTTTGACTTATTTAATCATTATTATATTAGTTATTTGACTTGGTTTAAAAATCAATATAAATGTTTGGTTAATTAGCTTTTTGTACTTCAAAATGCTAAAATTTAAAAAGCTACTCAAACCAATTTTTTCAATTAATTTTTTGAGAAAATAAATTATACCAAACAGCTAACAGCTAATTTACCAAACACTTGTATACAATTAGCTAATGTTATTAACTAGTTATCAATGTTGCAAAACACGCTAGGCGCTAAGGGGGCGCCTAGCGCCGGGGGCGCCTAGGCGCCGATTTTTTATTTTTTATTTTTTATTTTTATTTTTTTAATTAAAAATAAAATTAAAAATTAAAAATTTTTAAAATTTAGTAATAAAACATAAAGTTTCCATAGTTATTTCTTAGAAATTATTTACGAAAGTGGTTGTAAAAGTGTTCAAAAGATTGTTTAAACCATCTAAATACATAAAAAAAAAAAACTAAAATTAAGAGCTAAGAGTTAAAAGCTATCGAAAAAATACGCAATTTGAAAAAAAAATTGTCCAAAACGGACAACCGAGTCAAAGGTTATGCCTTCCGAAACTTTTTCAACATTAAAAAAAAAAAAAAATTATAGCGCCGAACCGGCCGGTTAGGCGGTCTAGGCGGCCGCCTAGCCGGCCGGCCGCGGAGGCCGTTCCTCGCGGCGGCGCAATGGCGCCTAGCGCCTAATCGGCGCCTAGGCGCGATTTTTGCAACATTGTTAGTTATACCTTCTAATTAACTCAATCAGCTAATTAACAACTATCAACTAACGACCATTTACCAAACAGGGTCTAGTGATTAAGCCGACAAGTAATATAATTATAAATTATACTGTGGATCATGAATAAATGTACATTTTTTATATACTGAATGTATATTATATGTGTACTGAAAGTTCATTATTTGATAGTATATCAAATAATATACTTTCAGAACTCAAATAATATATGTTAAAAATGTACTTTATGCCAGTGATCCACCTTACGAGATAGACCATGGTGAATGGATAATATTTGTAATATAATTGTGAGCGGATCGGATGGGCTAATACAGTTTTGAGATTAGAGGTTTAACTTTTGTAAATAGTGCGTCATATTAGCAATTTGAATTAGTCTATTAGATTTCTTTCTTTAATAAAAAAAATTAATTAATTAAATTTTATTCACTAAATTTTAAATTAATTCAAGAATAAATCTATATAATTTTTATATATAAAAAATCTCATACCATCTTATATTTTAACTTTTTATGGAGTCAATTAATTTATGAGTAGTAAATGAATATGAAAAATTAGAATTGTAAAAATTAACAAATTATAGATAATGATTCAAAAAAAAAAAAAAACAAATTATACCTAAACTCTAAATCTAAAAACATTTTATATGTGAATACAATCCATGTTATATCCCTAATTGTTGTTATCATTTTTAGTGCTAATAGATTTGTACATAAGTTAAAAATATTGTACATTATATTACATTTTAACTTAACAAAATTGTTCACATTCGCCAATGATTTTGTTGTCTAATGACATGAAATAACTTTTCTGGAAGGTCATGAGTTTAAGTTTCAGTTTGTTAAAACAATTTATTTTTATTAATAATAATTTTAACAGATTTGAATATTATTAATGTGTTCAAATCTTCCGGCACCCTCTATAATATAATTTCTAGCTTCTTTCAAATATTGTACTGGACTTGTATCTTCCTCGATCAGGTAAATATGAACATTCATATTCATTGGTCGTTGACTTCAATTCTTACTGTTTCTTCATGCGTTTTCAACAACTAATTAACTTCTAATCTTTATAAATAAGCTAAGCTTCTTCCTTTCTTTTCCAGATATAATTAAAAGATCCTCCGATCCTCAGATCCCTCCATGCTTTTACTGCTCCATATTACCATATATATCGTATAGTATTACCTCCGAACTGAAGATCCGATCGAGCGCAGCAATAATATATCATCGGTACGTGTCGATCGGCGATCCAAGTGGAGATATAATATAGTATATATAATATATGCCGAATCCAAGTGGAGACAGAAGAAGCAGCAAAGATGGCGACGAGATTTATGAGGGTGGCCGGGAGGCGTATTCGGAGATGGTTTCGCCATTATTGGCGGCGGGGATTAACAGAGAACGAGAGATGAGTGTGATGGTGTCTGCTCTGGCTCACGTCGTGGCGGGTGACGACGACATGACCGCCGGCGGCGGCGCTGATGGAATACTTTCGTTGACAAGTTCGTTATTAGATTCCGTGGCTAGCAGCGGCAGTGGAGGATTATCGTCGTCGTCAACTTCAGTTTGCAGCTCTTACCACCATGACGACTTCTCTTTACTTGGAGCCTCCACCCTAGGAACATCATCAGGTTCTTGTGCCTTATTATTATTATTTAAATTATTATTGTTGGTACGTGGTGATGTTTTTGTTATATATTGTGAGCAAATTAGTCATTTATTAAAAGTTTATATATATATATATATATATATATATATATATATATATATATATATATATATATATATATATATATATATATATATATATATATATATATGTTCTAGTGCGGTGAATGCTTCCCCCGCGGTTGTGCGGGTGATTAATGTGCATGAGTCTTGTGTGTAAGGTGCGTGAGTGTGTAGTGTTTAATGTGTGAGTTTTGTACTTAAGGTGCGTGAGTTGTGTGCTTAATGTGTGTGAGTGTGTACTTTGATGTGAGTTGTTGTTGAAACTTTAAAGTGTATGAGTTTTGTGCTTAATGTGCGTGAGTGTGTACTTAATTGTGAGTAATTGTTAAAACTTAAGGTTCGTGTGTTTTTGTGTTTAAGGTGCGTGAGGGTTGTGCTTAAGGTGCGTAAGTTTTGTGCTTAAGGTGCGTGAGGGTTGTGCTTAAGATGCGTGAGTTTTGTGATTAATGTGCGTGAATTTGTGTTCTGAATGTATTTTGTTTGTGTGTTTAATGTGCGTCTGTTGTGTACTTAAAGTGCGCCAGTGTAGTGCTTAATGTGAGTCCACCCGTACAATCGCACCTGATCACTTCCCTATATGCCAGTGTACTCCCGTCGACATAGCCAAGAAGCTCCTGGCCACGGAGAAATGGCACTAACTGAGTTCTCCAGAATAATAAATTGCGATAGTTGAGTTTTATTGAGACAAAATGGTGGGCACCCGAGAGGGAATTCGGGGAGGTGATCGGAGTTGTGGCGTGTCGGCAGTAACAGTACGTTCCGACAAATTGGTAAACATGGTGGTGATCGGCCGGTGGTTTAGGGGAGGTGATCGGGGTTGTTGCGGGGAGGAGAGGAGAGAGAGTAACCCTGGACTATCTAATACCAGATGAGATAACTATTGATAATTGAATTCCAATAGGATAGGAGTTACATTGTTAAAGGCTATAACAACTAACGTAAGATAATCCTATCTAACAGGAAAACCATATAAACCTAACCTATTACAAAGTTAGTCAAATATAACAATAATAATAATAATAAGAATAATATTAATATGGCTAACAAACTGACTAACAGAGGCTAGACTTTTGTTCACTGCACACAAAGAGCCTCCTTATTTTGAAAGGTTGCTCCCACACTGTCATTGGTGCGACTCGATCATTGGTCTCAATCTTGTGAAAAATTTTACCCTTACAACCAGTTGAGCTACCCATGTGAGCAAAATCATACGTGTTTTCTAGTGTTGCATGATGTGTGCTTTCCAATTGGCACATTTACACCTAAGAGCTTGTTATCTCCATAACGCGCTCATACATAAATATTTTTTACGCATCGTCTTAAAGTTTACTCACTTAATGTGACCTATATATAATCATGTAATACTTATAAATTGGTTGACTCCACTAACCGTAATAAAAAATTAAAGTTTCCAATCAAATAGTGTTATGTCAAGAACGAAAATTATGAGGACAACATTTTGTAATACAAAAGGTGCAGTGTCGGTGCCCAAAGAAACCTTGTGTATGTAGATATATTATAATCTACTCTGTATAAATTAGCACCAATGTGTAAATATAACTACAAGTTGTATTAGGTATTGTTTGTATATATATATATATATATATATATATATATATATATATGAGTAAATATCTATAGTACAATGTTATAGTACCTCAGGGAATATAAATGAGGAAGTGAAATTTTAGGAGTCTATGTAACAGAACTCTTAAATAATAGCACTATTGTAAGTACTCTCATTTTCACTTTCAATCGACCAATAGCAAATGGATGACGAAAGCAGTATTGAGTAACAATTTTCTTTTAATAAAAGTCAAAAAGTTATCATTAAATAAAAAGCTACGGATCGGAGTATTATCCAAACATGTATCAAAAGTCAATACATGTGATGTTGACAACCTTTTCGAGTTAAAAGAAATAAGTTATTGTGAATGTGAATACTAGTATAGAAAAATATTAAAGAGTAATTTTTTTTTTTTAAGGATTGAAGAGTAATTATTAGTGAAAAATATATATTTATTGTTTTGTAGAGTAATTATATATTTGTTTTATGCAGCTAAGAGTGGTGGTAGAATAGCAAGAACAAGTAGTGGCCCACCGGAAACTGCGACGTTTATATACACTCCGACGACTACACACCATAACGGCCAAGTCGAGCCGGGAAGACGATACAGAGGAGTGAGACGGCGGCCATGGGGGAGATGGGCGGCCGAAATCCGAGATCCCAACAAATCCGCCAGAGTGTGGCTCAGCACTTTCGACACCGCCGAGGCGGCCGCCGAAGCCTACGACCAAGCCGCCCTCAGGTTCAGAGGCAGCAAGGCCAAGCTCAATTTCCCGGAAAATGTAAGCTTGTTGCCTCCTTCTTCTTCGGCTAGGGTTTCGTCTCCGGCCGCTCGCTCTCCGACGCCTTATTCTAATTTCGGTTCGCCGGCGGTCGTCAACCGCCCCGGAGAGTTTGTGGTTCAGCAGCTCCCCGTGAGTTTGTTGGAACAACGGATATGTTCGTCGGAATCTTCGTCCTCGATGCTCCCTTCCGCTCAGCCACCGGTTCGCTTCGGCCACGCCGGCGGCCAGAGTAGCGGAACGGAATATCCCGCTGCTTCTTGGTCGGATTAGACTCACCACCCATTTTCTTCTAGAGTATTCTAGATGATCTTAAATTTTTTGAGCCCGCCCCCTCAATTAATACTACAAATTACAATCCATCAAGTCAAAAATATACCATGCTTTTGCGTGTTATTATGGGGGTGTTTGGTTATGGCTGATAAGTCAAATAATGAATTGTAAGTTTTTCTCCTCTATCCTAACACTAGTATAGGATATTTGCAATTTGACCAACACGAATTTACTACATTGATTCAGTACGTAGTATTTGAAAGAAGATATTAAAGTTTGAACTCCGGCAATAATAATGTGGGTATTATGTCAAAGTAAACAGATTCTTTGTGCGCATCAACATTTGACTTTATCTATTGAATCATTAAATTGCCGTGATTTATATCCTCCTAAACATTCTTGCAGTCGTACTATTTTTAAACTTAGAAGATTTTTTTTTTTTTTTGATGCAATTAAAAGTCATTTTCTAAAAGGAAGCGACTCTAAATTGTATTTTGGAGAGCAATTAAAGTAGTGGATGGTCAATGTGCTTAGACAAATTATTTCAGTTATTCGTAAGAGAAAAGTGAATGTATTGTAATTTTGTGTCATCATTTATTCCTTTTCCATTTATTTAGTATGGAGTAGTATTTTATCACTATTTTTAGGGAAAATGGTACTTTTTACTCCTGAGTTATATACTTATAGCACTTTTTCTCCCTCAATTATTTAGGTAAGCACATTAGCCCCCTCAATTATTCTAAAAGTGGTACTTTTCCCCCCTGATATATTAAATTGACATTTATACCCTTAAAGTAAACATTTTATTTATTTTACTACAACAAATTATTGCGTATACATAGGGATGACCACGGTTCGGTTTGAATTGAACCAGATACTAAAGCAATCGAATTAATAGTTTACGGTTATAATTCAGATCTAGAACCCAATATTTAAATGTCAATTTATTAAAATTATGTATCAAAAAAATTGAATCTTGAACCGTGAACCGGCGGTTTCGGATCTGATTCGCGATTTTAAACCGTCTTTATTTTAAAATTTTATTTTTTATTTTAAAATAGTCTAAATTCAACAATAAATGTATTTTATTTTTTCAGTTCGGAACATTAACCGTCCGTTCCGGTTCACGATTTTAATAAACTCTAAATATCGAATTTCGGTTATAAATTGTAATTGGAATATTTCTGTTTGGTTGCTATAGTGTTTGTTTAGTTTGAACCAAATTATGGTCATAATTTGTTGGAGAAAAAAATAAATTAAATATTTAGTTTAAGGGTAAATATGTCCATTTAACATTTTAGGGGGAAAAACAGCCACTTCAATAATTTAGGGGGAAAAATGCTATAGATATATAACTCAGGAGGAAAAAGTGTCATTTTCCCCTATTTTTATATTATTATTCGTTGATTTGAATTTAAAACTACACTTTTTATTCACCCATTTAACAAACGTGAAACACTAAATACAATTTTGAGAAATAATAATTGTGAAATTTGGAATTAAAAAAATATTACTCTTCTAAAATAATATATATATATATATATATATATATATATATATATATATATATATATATATATATATATATATATATATATATATTACTCTTCTTCAAAAAAGTTAAAATCTCAAAAATTTGGGGAAAAATATTATATATTAAAAAGAAATATCAAACCAGTAAATTAATACTATCTAGTATACTACGTTGTTATCACATAATGTCAGCCTTCAATTCAGTAAACATATGGGACCAAATTTATACAATTTCCACTAAAGCGTGTTTTCAAGTGTTGCATTTTGAAATAGTAAAACTTTGACTTGAATCCCAATACACATATACAAACAAACATGAAAGATCTGACGTATGGTAGCAACAATCCTAAAACTCTTGTTGACAACAACAACACATCCGCAATTTCAAAAAGAAAGAACCAAAATAATGAAATCAGTTTGTTTTCTTGTAACAGTTGGGAGAATTTTGGATGGCAGACATGATTGTTTATTATTAGTGTTTAGTAGAATGCTTATATGTTTCTTGTAGAATGCTTATATGTTTCTTGAAAAGGCAATTCATGGTACACACGGTTACTGTGCAAATTATGCTGTGCAACCGTGTGTATGGTGCACACGGTTGCAAAAACGGCGTCATTTTACTTTAAAAAAAAATTATTTTTGATTTTCGTTAGTTACGTAAACATATGTTCATAATTTTATAATTTTATATTCTGAATATGTAGTTATGAAGTTATAGATGTGTAGTTATGAAGTTATATGGATGTGTAGTATACAATTCTGAATGTATAGTTATGAAATTAATGGATGTGTAGTTATGCAATAGTGAATGCATGGTTATGAAGTTATGGATGTGTAATAAAAAAAAAATGATTGGTGGAGTTAAACGGTGCCACTAACGACACCGTTACTCCACAATAGTGAAACGACGTGTTTGCAACCGTGTGCACCATGCGGTTGCACCTCATAACAATTGTTAGGAGTTCGAACCCCTTCTTGTATAGAAAAACTAATTTGGCCAGCACTTTGCTCCTTAATTGGGCTGACTCAGCTACAGTTAGGGTCTGCTCAACACACCTCGTGGTCTAACCAAAAAAGAAAAAAAAACTAAGCCCTAACCGTAAAATTCGACAGTCCAATGAACTAGCCCTAAACCAAGCGGGCTAGCCCAACATCCCTAGATCTAATAAAGTAACTTGGGCTTTATAACGGGCCATTAGGCTATGGCTGCCATTGCCACTCCACTAGAAGAGAAGAGAAGAGAAAGCATCCCGCCTTAGCGCAACCAAAGCGCTAAAGCCCCATTTCAAAAACTGAAGTGTACCGAACGCACCAAAACACATTTATCTCCCGATGTCTCAGCCGGTCCCGGTAGACATCCTCTCCGACTCCGACGATGATCGCTGCGGCGCAGGCGGCGGCCGCTATCGACGCGACGCCATCGACCTCTCGACCCCATTGGCAGTCACTTTGAAGAAGCGGAGGACGGAGCTCGACTCGAACCACACGGTTTTCGTCATTGATGATGACCAAACCCCGGGGAAACCTTCTCTGGGCCTCGCCGCATCCACCTCGACTCCTTCTTACGTGCCCGAGACCCCCTTCTCCGACTTATCCAAACCTGATTTCTCCATTGTTAAATGCTCCAATTTCTCCTCTTCAATTTCATACCCCACTTCCCCAGGTCAGTTACATTTTCTCTTTATTCTTTGCTTTAATATCTGAAGTTGGAAATTTTATATTCACACTTTAGTTATGTGTTTCCGGTCATTATTTTTCAGTAATGTCATTGTTATTTTCAGTCAGACAGGAAATTCGATTTTGACTTATCAGTGAATTTATTATTATTTTTTAAAATTATTATGAGTTGCTGAAGAGAAAAGGTCCCAAACTTAAACCTAACTTTGGAAAATACACCACATTTAGCTTATTTTAAGCCTAAAAGTAAACTGGGATTGATAATTTATTAATTACAATTCATCCTGATCATAATCTGTGGTCTTAAGTTTACAGTAATACTGATGCTTCTCATCTTCTCTTTAGAAATTGTTGTTTGCTCTTTCTATGTTATGTAAGCTTGTTGTTTAAGAAATACTGATAACCAAAGTATTCACTTGTTATGGTCCGTGATTTAGGACCATCTGTGGTTGAGGAGACTCCAATATCTGAGAAATCAAGATTCGATATTCCAATGGCTAAATGCACCAAGGGCATTGAGGTTTCACAAGACCTAGCTTCCTCAGTTGTGAACAATCATAAATGTTCGGGTGAGTGTGGTTTTGATGCTATTTTCATTATCTCAATATTGTGATATTGCATTCATTTGTTTTGGGTCAGTTTTGATGCATCTTTCTTTTCCTTTGGTGTCAATAATACTGCCTGGAGAGGAGATTGGTAGAAATGTGGCACCAAAAGTATAAGACTAACCATGTTTTTCTCTGAATTATGCATTAAAATTTTTGAGGGAACAAAACGATTCAAATTGGGAGAAGAGAGATACAAAAATCAAAGAGAGTATGAACCATATAAAATTAGAGAGTGACCATGATCTGGCTTAAGCTTAAATGTAGTTAACATAACAAATTTAAGGAAACTGTCACTCTCATTACAGGTGAAAGGCATTTTTTTCATATGCAATATCTACATTAATGGTGAAATTATTTTATAATAGTCATAAATTACCAGGAAGAAACACAGTTTGGCTTCTTAAGTGTCACCTCTCCATTAAATGCAAGTTAAAGAGATATTTCTTGTTCATTATTTTTAATGCATTTTTTTCTTTTCCAAACTAACAGTGAATCCATAGGCTATGTGCTGGAATATTGTACAAATTTAAACTCATTTGAATATATTCCTTATGCAATGTGTTTCTTTTGACCAATTATGTCTTCATTTACTTTGTCTTTGTTCTGTGCCAGGAACTAGTCAGTTGATCTGTTTGGATTCTGATAATGTGTCTGAGGATGGTAGTGAGTTTGTTGCCCCAAAAAAGAATGACAGCATTGGTTTCGCTGTTGAAATGGAATGTGGATCAAAATTGAGCACTGGATTTATTCAGTCCACATGTTTTCTTGGTAAGCTACTGTTTATGTGTTGTAGCTGATTCTGTAATAAAAAGTGTCATTTAGTATTCACTTTCAGGCCATTCAATAGAATTGTAAAATTTTGTCACACAGGTAATGCTGATATTATGGAAGTATCAGCTAGTGGTTTTCAGCCAACTTCATTTCAAAAGGATGCTTCTTTGGTATGCTCTTCTGACTTGCAAATTGTTCTGTTAAAAAATTGTTTCTTCTTCAGCGTAGTTACATTGGCTTAAAAAAATTTAATTTTTGGGCATGGTGAATTTTAAAATTTGTTGCTCTCATATAATATTTCTCATCCTTGAAATCTTGTTCTGGAATCCTAATAAATGAAAAAAAAAAAAAAAAAAAAAAAAAAAAAAAAAAAACTGTTCAAGCTTATACAAACTGTATTTGAAATGACATCTGAAATGCACTGCTTTATTTTGTTTTATTTCATTTTATTTTATTGATTTCTATCCATTTAGCCCATGTATTTAATTGCGCATATACTTTTGGTCTCTAATACTTCTTATTTGAGATATAGCTGTGGTAAATAGTCATTATTTGACATTTTGAATAGTCCATGAACCAAGAGAGAGAGTGTACCTGGGGTGAGGAGGTTGATCATAGAAGATCCCATACATGTGCTCCACTACGACTGCTGAAAATAAAGTTGATATATTATTATCTTATTATCATCAACACTCCTTTCACATGTGGCTAAATTAATCCTTATGGGCTAAGCATGCAGATTTCTCTGTTGACAGGTAGCAAGTAGGTTTTGAACTTATGAACTCTGCTTGACGTGGTGTGATTTTGATTTTAAGCCCTTAGTTAGGTGGATCATCTAATTCGATGTCTCATAAATTGAGACTTGAGTATAAGATAATATCACATTACTCATATAATTTATCTCAAAAAGGGAAAAAATTAGAGAACTGAGAAGGCTATGGCTTATGACTTCTGAATCTGCTAACTTGATAATTTTAAAATGTGCATTTTCATGTAATTGTCAATATTATTCTTAAAAGTGCTGTTTGAAGTTGTTTTGTTTTAAATTTTTAATTTTCTTATTGATTACTTAGTAGTAGAATCATTGGTGTGATGTATATCCAGGACCATTGTTGCCCTTCTGAAGAAATTGATAGATTGGAGCCCTTTGAAAATCATTGCCCTTCTGAAGAAATTGAGAGATTGGAGCCCTTTGAAAAGGTTTTGAAACCAAATAGTAAAACCAGAGGTAACTCAAGTAGGAAAAATAAAGTTGATGAAGAAAAGGAGAAAAAAAGGATTTTGAAGGAAGAACGTCTTCGTTTAAAGGAAGAAAAGAAATTGCAAAAAGAAGTAAGTCTTTGAGTTAATGCTAATTTACTTGGGAGGGATTTAGTTTCTATAGTCTATGAACTAACGTGAGTTCATGAATCATGATATAGCAAGAGAAAATGCAGAAGGCTGCTCAGAAGGCTGAAGCTATAGAGATGAAAAAGCTGCAAAAAGAAAAGCAGAAGTGGGAAACGGGAAAACTTGCACTAAAGTCCATCGTGGCTCTCATTGATACTAGAGTAGTGGAACTAGGTTCAATAGGAGGTTAAAACATTCCTTATATTTTTCTTTTGTCGTCTTGTCTGCCTTATTGAACTTTTTAACCCTTTAAATCACTCATTAATTGATTTTGCTTTCACATTTCAGGTCATTTAATAACAAGACTTGCAGAGAAAGGTCTTTCTTATCGAATAACAACAAATCCAATTGAAAAGTCTATTCTGTGGACTATGGGCATTCCAGAACAACTATCAGAGGTAATCTTTTACTCCATAGTGGATGAAGATTTGAGTTCATTTATATTGAGCAGATGCATCTGGATATAAAAGTGGAGTTCTACACACCAGTACATAAATATTAGACATAAATAGAGGCTGAGAATTGTTGTACATCCAGATTGATATTTTATTGTGCTTGATGTGTTTGTTTGTCTAACTGTATGTTTGTTGGCATGATTGTTTTCTTCATGGGGGTAGTATCTCTTTTGAATGATTTGTACCATTTAGGCAGTTATTAGTTCTTCCCCACTTCTTCTATTCTAGAGTAGAAAATGGGGTTTTTTTTGCCTCCATTTTTAAGTTCTGCCTTATTGATGTTATATTTATAATGTGCTAGTGTTGGATTAGAGTTGGACCTAAAAAAAACTTAGGATACCTTTACTAACTGGAGAAATTCTCAATTTGGAAAAGTGGATAAAGGAAAATAGAAAATACGTTTACTTGTAGATTTGGTGAACAAAAAACAGAGAAGGGAGAATGGAAACTGAAGAAAGGAAAGCATAGAATTGAAGTATATGCAGCCAGTTTCATGTCAGTACTCAAGAATCTTGAGCACATCTTACAAGAAATAGACCTCCTAAGTTAATTAAACTTTATCAATCTTACCAAAAAAAAGAAGTGCAGGAAACTGTTTAGGCTCTGCCAAAAATACTAGTCAAGTCACAAAACTTGCTTCAGTTAAACTCTTATTACTGTTGTTGAGCTTATGTTTTGTGCTTCAGATTGCATCTGAGCCAGTCGACATCCGGTACGTGTTACTTGTATATGAGGCTGAGGAGTTCATCAACCTGGTCTTGAATGGATCTTTCCTGGATCATGCTTCCAAAGTGCGGAGCCTTTTTCCTTTACATACGCTATGCTATCTCACAAATAGGCTTATGTCTTACATTAATAAAAGGTTAATATTTACTTTCTTTTTGTACTTCTTCGGTAGTTAGGATTGTCTAACTCTTTTTTTGTATTTGTTATTAAGCTAGGATTGCTCTATCATGTTTGATACATTAATATATTGTGAATTTGTATATCTGTTTCGTCATGTCATTGCATATGCCTTCTTAATGCTTTTTGTATTATAGTATGCTGAGAAGAATGATTATTGGTGGTTGCATTTCCTAAGTTATTGAAGTGTATTATATCTGGTTTTCTTCTTTTATTAAAAGGAGTGTTTCATTGTGATCTACCAATTCTTACCTCTGTTGACTGTTGAACCATGACACCAATCGTATCTTGTCTGCTTGGTTGAGATTGGATGTTGGTGTCAGGTCATATACCTATCACTATATATATCCCTTTCTATCTGCTGATGGATTAAGAAAGTAACTCTTTATTTACCATTTGGTGTTTATGTAATCAACTTATTGTGCAAACTACCTTTTATTTGAAAATATCTGAACTCAATGAATCTGACAATTTCTTTACTGCTGTAATAGAGAGCAGGCACAATACAAGGATCCCAGCAACAAAACTAGTTGGAAACGCCCACCTATTGAGGAGGTTGGGAAAGCCATAATTGCATGCATGTATCAGAAATATTTTATGATTGTGATTATAACTTGATGTTCTACTGTACTTTCTATAACTTTGACTTTTTGTTTCAGGTTTTGGCAAACTTAACCACTCAGTTTGTTGGTGTACATTCAAGGCAGTGCATTGATGAAGCAGAAGTAGCAGAACATATTGTAGGTTTAACAAGTAGTCTTGCATCTTGCCAATACAGGTACTTTATTTTAGCGAGGAATATGCTATATTTATATTTTTGAAATTATCTAAGCCTTAAATATGCTATGAGCCTATGAATCAAACTTTGTTTTTGCACTATCACCTGAAACATAATGCTTTTTCATGATTCTTTGGAGAAACTGTTTCCTTAGGAATCCCCCACCCCCCAAAACCCCCAACAGAGATTTTAATATCTTTGCCCCAATTCTTATCAAACATGCTTCTAAAATTTTGTTTTTCTTTTTAATTATCTTTTTGTTTCAGAAAGAAGTTATCTAGACTATCAGTAAATGCAAACGGGTCCCTTGTTCCCAAGGATTGTGTTGACAAGAATATGATAAAGAAGAGCCCATGGTGAGTACTTTCTGCATAGACACCAAATGTCAAGTAGCCTTCATTGAAGTTTAGATTGTCTACCAAATACCAACGTAATCCCATTTGAACAGAACCCTCAAGCAAAGAATTATGCAGAGTTTTGTCATATCGTCATGCTTTCCATAACTGCTCTTACCTTACGTCTGTCATCATTTCTTAATCACAATGTTACATTAAAAGAGTTGCATAGTCTTAGGTGGGGGTCGAGTTACAGATTTAAAGAGTTAAGATGAAGTTTTCGTGATTTTGTGATCATTTAATGATGACAATATGCATACAATGGTTGCTCTTTTCATGCAGGTTGAAAGCATTGGTGGCTATTCCTAAGGTACAACCTCGATTCGCCATTGCCATATGGAAGAAATATCCAACAATGAAATCTCTCCTCAGTGTATACATGGACTCAAATAAATCAGTAAGCATCAAAGTGTACTCTATTTACATATTTTTTTCCCTAAAATGATCAAATGATCCATAAGACTGACAGCACATTGACACTTTTAACGTCTCGTATTTCTTCCACGAAAAGGAGTAATTGCTTGATATGCTTAAACAAATATTCAGGTACATGAAAAGGAGTTTCTGCTTTCAGATCTTAGAATAGAAGGTTTGCTAGGCGACACTAGAAGATTAGGAGATATTTGTTCTAAGAGAGTGTACAGAATACTAATGGCTCAATCTGGAGGCATCACAACTGATGACATTGAATGTGGAGCTGATTTCTTTGGCCAACCCTCGGTCTGACTTTAAACTGGAATTGTTGCTCGAGACCTCGTAGTTTAGTGACATACATGCGAGACTTTTAATAAGAGAACTAAATTGTTGTAAATTTGTAGGTATGTATATGATCAGTCTAACATATTGCATATATATAGGACCAACCAGTTCACCTCATATAACAGTTTTTGCCTTTTTGGTGTCTATGATTAGTGTACCATGTTGCACCCAGTCTGCCTCAAGGTTGGCACTAGTATTTTACTATTTTTGCTGATGTACCAGACTAGGTAGAGATTTGAACATTGAAATTGTGATGAATATATTTAGCTTTTTGTTTTGGACTAGATAGCACAGAAATGGAAAATAGGCGAGACCTAAGTGTGTATTTGTAAAAAAAAAAATTCTTTAAATTATGCATAAATTTTAATTGTCTATTAGTTTATTTTAAAGAATGTATTTTTTTGAGTTAATACCCAAAATCATCCTCGACTATAGTGGTTTTTCTCAATTTCGTCCTAAACGACTTTGGTGACCTAATATCGTCCCAGACTTTTGTGTTTCGCTCAATTTAGTCCCAGACTTTTGTGTTTTTGCTCAATTTAGTCCCTCATTTGTTATTCTGTCCATTTGATGTTAAATAAATAGACAATTCAGTAATTTTAATATTGGCATCTCTTTACTCATAGACATGTGAAGTGCGAAATCCCTTTTTTTTTTTACGAATTACTTCCAGAATTACTCCTAAAACTGCGAATATAAAATTTAATTTGCATGTTCGGGAGTAATTCTGGGTGTAATTCATACAAGAAAGAGAAATTTCGCACTTTACAAGTTGAAAGTAAAGAAAGATCAATATTGACAATTTGAATTGTCCCTTTATTTAACACCAATTTGACGGAATAACAAATGGAGGACTAAATTGAGCGAAACACAAAAGTCTGGGACGATATTAGGTCACCAAAGTCGTTTAGGACGAAATTGAGAAAAACCACTATAATCGAGGACGATTTTGGGTATTAACTCGTATTTTTTTTATAATTAGGAAAATAACCCAAATATGTTTTTATAAGAGCATCCCAATAGGAATTTTTTCATGATTTTTGAAATAGTAAAAAGCTCAAGGGTTGGCTTTTAACAAATATGGAGTGGTTTTTGTTTGTTTTGTTGTCTTGCAAATTTTTGTTTTTGTGGGGCTTGGCGGGTGAGAGAAAAGGAAAAACAAAGTCATTTAATCTACGCGTGAAGCGCAAGAATCACGCCTATTGGGTGCGTATTTAGCTTGTTTTTCAGTTTTCTTTTTTTCCTCAAGTGGTACGCTTTAATAAAGGCTGAAACTTGTCTTGTAGTTTAGAGTATAGAAGAGAGAAATTTGGGTATCTCCCGTCGATTGATAGAGATCAGTCTACCCAAAAATTTAAAATTAAACTAAACTTATTCTATTACGTGCACCAAATACGCCCAATCACGCACCCGCATAATTCTTTATTTATCTAATTTTTCTTTTCTGACAAATTTCTTTTTCTTTTTCTTTTTTCTTTCACTTTCTCCCTCCTATGGTCTGAAAAAAAAATCAAAAAATCCAAACTTAATGAGGTTGCTCTTATTAATTACTCCGTACTAAACATTTGTATACATGGTAGGAGAGTAAGAATTGACAGAGCATAAAGTGGTTTAATGTCAATGATGATCTTCCATGCCAAAGAACTTAGAGATGTTATCAAGATCATTGTTTCTGAAATCGACGGAGATGGATCTGCGGTTCAAACCCAGCCTATTCTCTTCATAATGCTTGGCAGCCTCAGTAATGGAAGCAAGCAAGATCGGGTAGTTCTTGATGTTCTTCAGGGCATTGGGATGCGCCTCAGTCCTCGACGACTGCTCGTAGCTCCGCAATTTGAAACCAGGCAGCGGCGGCGATGGAGGACTCTCTCTTTTTCTGCCGCTGCGTTTCATGCTTATCGAAGAGGCACTGCTGCTTGCACTGTGCCCCAGTTCTTGGCTCTGCATGCTTGAGTCTCCTTGATTTTCCTGAGCACCAAAGCGTTAGCAGGTGAAGTGCACTTATTATGCACGCAAACTGTTTGTAAATTTGCATGTTGTTTGTAAATTTGTACTTTTGGTCCATACCTCTTCGATTTAGGTTGGTCGAAAAATTGAACAAGAGACTAAATATAGAAGAATTAAAATTTAAGGATCTAATTTGAGTGGGGTAAAATATCTAAACATATTTTTAAAAAGAAACCTTTAAAAAAAATCTTTAAACATAATTCTAGATTTGATTTGATTTGATTTTGTTAATAAAATAAAGCGTGAGAAACTGAGAATGTGAGATTTTACCTCTTTGGAAGAAGTATTCTCTTCCTTAACAAGGTCTGTAACAGATGGTCTTCTTCTCTCCCTCTTTTCACGGCTTCTGCGAGACTGTTTCGTTCTTGATATCTTGCTCCTGTAAGTTTTTTAAAAAATTTTATTTTATTTTTCTAAAAATAATACGGAGTATATGATTTCTAAAAAGGGAAAATGACACTTTTTCCCCCTAAGTTATATACTTATAGCACTTTTTTCCCCTCAATTATTTAGGTAAGCACATTAGCCCTCTCAATTATTTAAAAAGTGGTGTTTTTTCCGCCTGATATATTAAATTGACATTTCTACCCTTAAAGTAAACATTTATTTATTTTACTTCTCCAACAAATTATTGCGTGTACGTAGGGATGACCACGATTCGGTTTGAACTGAACCGGACACTAAAGCAATTGAATTAAAAGTTTCCGGTTATGATTCAGATCTAGAACCCAATATTTAGATGTCAATTTATTAAAATTATGTATCAAAAAAATTGAATCTTGAACCGTGAACCGGCGGTTCCGGATCCGGTTCGCGATTTTGAACCGTCTTTATTTTAAAATTTTATTTTTTATTTTAAAATAGTCTAAATTCAACAATAAATGTATTTTATTTTTTCAGTTCGGAACATGAACCGTCCGTTCCGGTTCACGATTTTAATAAACTCTAAATATTGGATTTCGATTCTAAATTATAATTGGAATATTTCAGTTTGGTTGCTATAGTGTTTGTTTGGTTTGAACCAAATTATGGTCATAATTTGTTGGAGAAAAAAAATAAATGAAATATTTATTTTAAGGGTAAATATGTCCATTTAACATTTCAGGGGGAAAAACAGCCACTTCAATAATTCAGGGGGAAAAAAAAGTGCCATTTTCCCTTCGAAAAATGAAGAAATGAGATGCAATAAATACCTTCTTCGATCATAAGAGTTGATCACATCCACATCAACCTTGATGGCGGGCAACCCAGAAAGATCACAAGCTAACGGACTCGTTCGGAAGAACTTTTTTTTTTTTTTGCAAAAATATATATATATAAATTGTTATTTAGCAATTAATTATAAATAATTAGAAATTAAGAAGAAAAAAAAAAACTGACTTGATTTTGCAGAGCGGAGGCAGCAGAGCCACGGTAAGCGGGTTCAATGCAGAGGAGTTTAGACAAGAGGCCGTACGAAGACTCAGGCAAATCAGGTAACGCCACGTGGAAAGAAGGCTTGTACGGCTGCGGCGGTCTGAAGGTCGCCGGCAGCTTCGCCTTCTTCCAGTAATCCTCCGGGGGAGATCCGCATAGCTTGAATATCTTGTGTAGTTGCTCTATCTATTTTTACCACAATTTTATTCAATAATTAAAATCATTTTACAAATATATTACGGAGTAGATAAATTTGAATTTAGTAAAAAAAAAAGAGGTTACCTCATTCCTACCGGGCATGATGGGGCGGCCATGGAACATCTCGGCGAGAAGGCATCCGGCGCTCCAAAGGTCAATCCCTACGCCGTAATCGGTGGCGCCCAACAGCAACTCCGGCGCCCTATACCATAGCGTGACAACTCTGGTGGTGAGAGGCTTGTTCGATTTGGATTGGAAAAAATTAGCAAGCCCAAAATCTGCAATTTTGAGACGCCCATCTTTGTCTATCAGCAAGTTGGATCCTTTGATGTCTCTGTGAAGTATTCCCCTCTCATGGCAATGCTGCAGCCCTGAGAGCAGTTGCTGCATGTAACACTTCACCTGCAAACTATGAAAAAACAGATGAGTTATAAGTCTGGACAATACTATAGCCCTATTTGGTAGAATTAGGTTAATTTTAACTTATTTGACCAATATTAAATTTTTTAATTTGGTTAAAAAATCAGTATAAGTATATGGTTAATTAACTTTTTGTAACTCCAAAATATTAAAATTTAAAAAGCTGCTCAAAATAACTTTTTCAATTAGCTATTTGATAAAAGAAATTATATCAAACAACTATCAGCTAATTTACCAAACACATTTCTACAATCAGTTAATGTTATCAATTAGTTATACCCTCTAATTAACCCAATCATCAAATAGCTAATAGCCATTTACGGCCTATATCTTATCCATTTTGTTTAAACTATATCGCTTATTAGACATCCACATCTATGCATATTTCACGGGTTTTAAGAAAATAAATGTCACATGGATGAGAGAGAGTGAGGAGAGAGAATCTGTAATGTTTATTGCAAGCTTTGGGTTATTGTTAGTGTGTGGAGCCCACATGATGGAAGAAAAAACGCATGAACTTGCGTTTCAGCCACATTCCGTGCCCAGCTGGGGCGCTTGCGCCCGCTGGGCGGAATGTGGCTGACTTTTTTTTTTTAAAATCAAATTTGTTTTATTTTTTTTCTCTTCTCTCATATTTTCTCTTTCCTAATCACTCTTATATTCTTTTCCAAATCTTCCTAACTGATGCGGATGCTCTTATCATAACAGGGCTAAAGGGCACTGGAAAGTTGAAAGGTTTTGATATGTGTGCAGATAGAAGAGGAGATAAAGTGACCTGTGGTTCAGTGAGGGGTGCAGCATCAGGGCGAGTGATGATTGTTGACAAGTCAGAAGGCATGAAATCAAAAACCAAGTAGAGACTATACTGCATTCTTGAAGTGGCAACCCCTTCCAGCTTTATAATGTTGGGGTGGTTCAGCTTCTGCAGTATTATGATCTCTCTTGCCATGAACTTCACGCTCTCTGGCTCTGATGTATCAAACCTCACCTTCTTCAGGGCAACAATTTTCCCACTATTCCTATCTCTAGCTTTATATACATTGCTGTATGTTCCCTGCCCTACCTGCAATTTCATCAACTCCACATTCATATTCATGTTTAGGATCATAAAGGATACATGGAATTAAACTTTAAAATATCTTATAATCTCGAATTTAGTTCTCCATGAGGGAAATTTTGGGTTTAAATTTTAGTGAATAAAGTAATAAATTCTCCTAAATAAGGGCTAATAGCTAGCATTTGAATTCAAATGAATTGATGTTAGTAGAGTTGAACATATAATATCTACAATATAAATATGTAATTTCATTATTATATTAAATTTATAGTTAAAACAAAACACTCCAGAACCAGCAAAATATATATATATATATATATATATATATATATATATATATATATATATATATAGAGAGAGAGAGAGAGAGAGGGGATCGCTTTCAGGTGCGAACTATCAGTCCAGAAGAGAACTAGGAACCATTCAGCGCGTCACGTGTCTAGATCTAAGTGCACATATAGTTATAAGTAGGTGCACCTAGGTGAAAGTAGGTGCACCAAATCAATAAATGTTAACAAAACAAAATTGCATGCACTTATGAAAATAGGTGCACCAGATCAATGAATGTTAACAAGACAAAATTACATACACTTGTAGGTGAAAGTAGATGCACTTGTAAGTGTAAGTGATTTTACCTACAGTTTTTATTTGCATAGGTGCACCAACTACCACATATAACACATTTACATGTACCAAAGGACACGTGGCGCACACGAGATGGTTCTCAGTTCTCTCCGGACCAACCGTGAGGCCGCACCCCTATATATATATATATATAAAGAAAATGGAGTGGAGACTAACCTTGGAAAGCTTATCATAAGAATCTGCACTCTTTGGTTGCAAACCATCCAAAACATCTTTAGGAATGTTGTCAACAAGCCATTTTGGCCACCCATCCACCAATTCATCTCCTCCAATTTTTCTAGACGGAAACCTTTGTTGAACACTAATGTTATTGTGATTGCTTTTATTTTTACTATTATTATTATTGTTGTTGTTCTTTATCCCTCTTTGAACATCAACATCTCTACTACTCACATGAACCCTTCTCTCCCTACCATTCACATTATTTTTTATCCCATCCCCTTCTTGCCTTGAAACCCTATTCACGTTATCTCTCCGATTAGGGCGGTACCCATATTCTTGCTTCAAACTCTCAAGCCCCCTCGACGGCGTTTCCTTGCCCTGAACGCAGCCCATATATGAAATATGATGCCCTGCTTCACGGCGGCGAGCCCGAGCCCGAGCCCCGGCATATTGTTTGACCCATCAACCTGATGAACAGTTAACACTGGACGTTAAAATGGTACGGGGAGGAAACGGGTACGGTATGGAATGCATAATAAAGGGCAGACAGGGCAGGTCATTGTCCCCAGCGGCCGGCTTTTGGTGTGCTGGTGCTCTGCCATCTCCGCCGCATGGGGTTAAGGGGTGGCGGAAATGAAGATATTCGGTATCCAATTTCAATGCTTCTGTCAGTTTTCACAAGGAAAGCTTTGGCGTTAATGACTGGAAGCTTTTTGCATTGCAGATAATATGGATATAAGTACTAGTTTTATGAATATACCCAATATTCCAACAAGATAAAGATATATAACTTTCGTCTAGTCACAAATTTAAAAGAGAATATAATTCCGTAATACACTATAAATTTCCATGTTTATTATTCATATGGACAGTTTAGAGTATTAATAAATGTCGCGTTTGTTCATTCCATATCCCAAAACAGTGTATTCCCAGGGAAGTGGCTGTGTACTTGAGAATGTAAAAAAACTCTGTTTTCAACGGTACGGAATAATACCCCTTCGGTGGTGCATTTATTTCTCCAAAATTCTTGCTGATATGTTAACGATTACGTACATACCGAGGATATAGATCCGACAATCACTACTTAACCAAATGGCTGTCGCCAACTGTGAGCGGCGACCAGACAGGTTGTCCTAGATCAAATGGTCCAAGAGAGTCATTCTGCATGCCACAATTCCAAAGAAAAGAAATGCATTTAGTCTAACTGCTTGGTTAGTAGGAACTGTTTTTTAAAGGCAACCAAACATACCCATTTGATCCCTTTTAGTGCGAGGTTGCAGCTGTCTTCATCAACAATCCCTTGTGAACGAGGCAACAACTTTGTCTTGGATTGATCCTGTGATCATAATTGGATACTATTATAAGCCCTTAATTGCAGGAAACAATGAACACAGCAGCATTATTAAGAGATGGGTGGTTTTCAGTGACCATCAGAATCAGAATTAAGATGCTGAATAAAATTTTAATAAATGGAAATGCACCAAGGGAAGAGGAGAGAGGGAAAACCTGAGCTGTAGCTTCAGATGTCAAACGCACACCTTCCTGACATTCCATGGAACTGCCTGCTTCACTAGCAGTCACGGCCATTCCACTCAAAGGAGAAACTTTCCTTACAGGAAACGCATGGCACGTCTCTTCAGCATCGAAGAAAGATGTGCATGGTTCATCCAATTGTAGTTTTGAGTCAGGAAGATGTGAATTTAATTGAGTAGCAACAAAAGCACCAAGTGAGGCAGCAGTTGATGAAGATTGTGGCAAGCTTGATTTGTTCCCACTTAAATTTGGATTCACGTTATTTATCATTCCCTGCATTGATGCCTCAGAAAGCAAGCCTCCAATGCTCAAGGCAGTTAGACTGTCAACCCAAGAAAACTGTTGCTGAGCATTGTTGCCTGCCATTGTTCTCGGCATTTCAAATTCTTGTGTAGGTGGAATGTAATCATGAATCTCACCCTGCAAAGTTGCTTGTGACAGCAAGCACCCTGTGTCTACACCTGAGACTAATTTAAGTGGCTGCCTGTCCAATTCCTTCACCGAGTTCAAACCACCACTATTCATCTTGCCTTGCAAAGATACTTCAGAAAGCAAACCTCCAACACTAAAGTCAGAAACTGCCAGAAATGGCTGCATTTGACTTGCTGATTCAGTGTCACTTTTGATGATCTTACCCAGCAGAGATACTTCTGAAAGTAGCCCCCCAATGCTTAAGTTCGTCAAGTTATCTTCCCATGGCACTAAAGGTTCATAGATACCATCAGCTTTCAGTTGATTACCCTGTAATAGGAAAAATAAGCACATATTTAAGTCAATAAAAAGCCTAAATATATCTCAACCACTTTTGGGCACCAAAACTAAACAGAATTCAAAAGGAATCAGAAGCCAAATTAGGGAGACAACAAATCTAAAATTGAATGAAGCAGTTCAAGGGAGGCATTTAGATATTTGATTACATAGCAATTAAACAGGTAGAACCTTTTACAAATTCATCTGTGTTTTTATTTGAAAGAGTTAAAGATCATTATAACTCAATGTTGAGCAAAGAAAATATTGAGGAAATTTCTTTAAACAGTGAAAATTGCTAATACAGGTTCCACAAACTTCTAAAGCAAACAATGCACCAGCTAAATTTACCTTTGAGAAACAAAACTGAAAGGAGCATATCTTGCTCATGGTGATGTTTTGGGCTATGAAATTCAAGAAATCTTGTTTTACATGCTGAAGAATAAATTACACTTCATAAACTCCCCCCTCTTTCAGAATGAACATTGTGTTTGCATAAGGGTTATTAAACTGCATCTTAGCACGTTTCAATTCTTTTGAGCAAGACACTAAAATGAATAAAAAGGACATGTTTGTGGACTGCAAAAAATATGTTTGAGAATAAGGCAGGAATTCCTTTGTTTGCAACAACCATGCTCCTACCTCTTCTGACCAAAGTCCAATCCTGACCAGCACTAAAGCCAAATTTACAGAGAAAACTCAAATTCTAAATGCAATCAGACACAAAAATAAACCGTAAATAGATCAAGTAGTTTACTACCTACAGTGTATTGCATACCATCCTTTAAACATTGCTAGACTCCCTACCAATCAAGTTTTTAACCTATTAGCCAGAGGATCAGGAACTCTGAAGTGTACTATAAGATGAGGTCATGTAATTCAGCAGTGAAAGAGAAAAAGGGAGACCCCATAACTATAGCAAGCAAACAAGTAACCTATCTAAGAAGCTGCAAATGCTTACCACACATTCAACTTGTTCAACTGAAGGCATCTGCTCTTTTACAACATCTGAAGCTTCATTAGTAGACTTAATTTTTTCAAAATATTTATTTTCTATTTTAGTCTCCTTCATTTGGTTAACTTGGATATCTAAAGCTTGGCTGCTGACCTCAGATTGCCTTCTAGAGTCAGAATGAGTAGACAAAAGAGGCATTTTGAAGCCCTCCAATTGATGATCCAAAAACCAGCCATACCTAAAAATAAAAAAAAAAAAAAAAACAAAAAAATAAATAATAATAATAAAAAAAAAACAAATTGAGACTAAATGAGGAGCTAAGATTGGAGAAGCTTATGAGTTAAAAGTTAAAACTGAGAGCAAATGAACCTCAGACCTTAGGCGAAAAACAGCAGGACTATTTACAGACATATAAACTTCTCTTGCAGAAATTTCAGTATCTTCCATACTCCATCTTCTGTAGGAAGCTAATTTCTCCAAATTAACATCATAGGGGAAAAGCAAGGCCTTCCCCCACTTGCCATTTTCATTGCCCCACTTTGTGTTTATATGCTTGATCACGGACCATATCCTCTTCTTAGCACTTAAAGTGAGTTCCAAAAATGGATTGTACCCATCCTGTATAAATAAAAGATAAATCTATAAACTTCCTTGTCCAGATAAAGTTGGAACCTATCATGTATGCTCATGCTCAATGTTACTTATCTTACTTTTTCCAATCTCAAGCGAGTACTTTCATTTATTGGAAAGAGTTGCAGTTTAATCTTTTCAGAAGGTTGAAGTTGTTGAAGCTCCAATTCATAGCAACAGTCTCTTCCTTCAGTAATATTCCCACCAAATAGCTCTGAAGTGCCAGAAGGAAGAACATTCAAATCTTTTCTGGGCAAAATAGGTTCACTTTTCCCTAGGGAAAAAGAGCAAGCATATCTAAGTGCACAATTAACAGAAATTTCAACAAGAGCCAATTCATTTAAGTAACTCTTTAAAGAGCACGCTAGAGAAGAAAAATTGGATACAGAGGTGTCAGCATTCACAAAATCAAAGTAGTTACTTCCAGCAACAAGCCCCATTTGTAAATATTTTTTAAAAGAAAAAGAAAAAAAGAAACATAGTAAAAAACATCAATCCAACCTAACCTTCTGATTTCTGATCCCGCCTCCTAGTCCTAACTGTAACTTTCTTTGCTACTACACACGTTTCTTCCTCGTTCTCTTCAGGAGTGCCTTTTTTCTTTCTTTTCTGATGCCTAGCATATTTTGATGAAGAACTCAGAGCTTTCTCCAGTGCAGCACCTCTCTTCTCATCCTCATCTTCAACAGCGCCTACTTCTCTTCTTGTCTGAGGTCTACTAGATATCATTGCAGCTCAAATGCGTTGCAAGAGAAATACAGAGCCTCACTAAATCACGCAATTTATTCCAATCACTCTCAAAAAAAAAAAAACGAAACAAGAATCCAAGATCGCCACGGCACTAACACTGCAGATACATAAAACAATCCCAAAATTAAGTAGTTCTAGGCATGTTTTCTTCAGAACAAAACAAATAAATTCCATATATCCATCAGAAACAGAAATATAATAACGTAAATTCTATCAATCAACTTCAGCCTTCGGTAAAATCAACTCAAATCCAGGATTCATCGGTTCGTACGTTATCAATGAATAATCTAATTATCATCGATTTCTGAAGAAGAACAGTAAAAGAGCACGAAAATTAAATACAAAAATCGATGCGAGAGAAGAAGCCTGAAGTAATTCTTAACGTACCGTACGATACAGGAAGCAAACGATGCTTTCGCCGGTGCCCTTCAAGGAACGCAGAGAGCTACGCGGTCAGAGAGAGAGAGAGAGAGAGAGAGAGAGAGAGAGAGAGAAAACGGCTGAAATGAGAGCGGGAATGATTTATTTTTAGTGAGAGAGTCGGCGCCAAAGATTTTTATTTGAACCCAAAATCAAATTCGGACTCTCAATTTATACAAGCGATCCTTCTGCGTCCACCAACACTTGCGTGCACCTTACGGCTTGTAATAGAAACTCTGTAAATTCCTTTAAAAAAGAATAAAAAATTGCATCAATTCCTGAGTTATAACCAAGTTTCGACTTAATCCTTAAGTTATGGTCGTATTCGAGTTTAGTCTCTCAGTTATGAGCAAAGTGGCACGTTTAGTACTTGACGCTAGTGGTGTGTTGACAAAGATAATTTCAAGGATAAAGAAGTAAATTCCTTAATAAAACTTGTAAACTTAGTGAAAATATTTTCTCCCAATTCGACAAAAGTCCTAAGTTGCTTATGTAATCATCGAAGAAACACTATTACCGTTTTTCTAAAAAATCAAATTTCAATATTTCAATTTTATTTATAAAAAGAAAATTAAATTACAATTTTTTGACAAATACACAAATTTGTTCCATAATGTGGACTAGCTTGATATCTTTTTCTTCGATTAGCATAATTCCATGACATTTTGATGGTAAAAAATCATCACAGAGGGAAAGATGAAGGCCCTGTTTGGTAAATGACTGTTAGCTATTAGCTGATTGTGTTAATTAGAGGGTATAAATAGTTGATAACATTAGCTGATTGTAGAAAAGTGTTTGGTAAATTAGCTGTTAGCTGATAGTTGTTTGGTATAATTCCTTTTTTCAAAAAGTTAATTGAAAAAGTTGTTTGGAGTAGCTTTTTGAATTTTAACCTTTTGGAGTTGCAAAAAGTTAATTAACCAAGCATTTATATTGATATTTTAACTACCAGGACTATGTGGTCTAATGGTATCCGTGTTGGACTTCCAATTGGAAGATTATGAGTTCAAGCCTATGAACAGATACTACAATGTAATAGAGCCAGTAGCTTTCAAAAAATATATATATATATTGATATTTTCACTAAATCAAACAATTAATAGTGGTCAAATTGGCCAATAGGCCAATTTTTTACCAAACAAGGCCGAAGTACCACAACTAAGAGATAACATCTTATAATTAATGGCTAAATGATTCCTTCAATACGGAGAATATTGATTATTTATTTAAACATATAAAATAGAGAAACAACTTACCTCTGAATTTCGCAGCTTGGAAGTGGACAAATTTGAGATTTCAAGCTTGGGGAAGAAAAAGATCTTCGATTGTAGGTATAAGAAGAAAAGAATTGCGCAATGAGTTTCGACATAATAAGGTGATTATAATTTGAAATTCATATTTTACCCCTCTATTATTAAATTGTTTTTAAGTTTTCCATTAGCCGCAGACGGAGTATTAACGTTAGGGACCAAACTCGTCACTTCGCTCATAACTGAGGGACTAAACTCGAATACGATCATAACTTAGAAACTGAGTCGGAACTTGGTTATAACTTAGGGACTAAAGATGTAATTTTCCTAAAAAAGAATGTAACATTAAAAAAATAAAGGCTAAAGTGTCATCCCGCAACATGCATCATTCCTGATTATTCATGCCGCACCATGATATTTTATAAGTGATATTTAGAGTCATAAATCATAATTTTTTTTTTCGTCTATAACTTTTTACAGGTTTTCTACAGGTTACCGGTAATAATATTGATTGAATTTTTTATTAGTTTTATATATATATATATATATATATATATATATATATATATATATATATATATATATATATATATATATATATATATATTTTTCTTCTTTCGCCTTCGTATTATAATTTTTTTTTTTGTATTTTTCTTCTTTCCTAAACGTATAGGCCTGCTCTGCATTTTTCGCATCTCGTCTCTCCGATCAGGCCTGCTCTGCTCATAGCCTCCTGACTCCATCCGATGTTGTTTGAGTTAATTCCAAAAATGGTCGCCCGAGTATGATGATTTTCCAGAATTGGTCTTCGATTTTTAGTTTGGACAATTTAACCATACGAACAACAACTCTGTTACCTCTGCAAAGCAATTTCTAGAGAAAAAGTGAATTTCCTATGATAATTTCATCGGGTTGTGAATTTCGCGTATAGATTGGGAGAAAGAAGAGGATTATACGTTCAATAAGGAAAAGTACCATTTTAGTTCGCGTATAGATTGGGAGAAAGAAGAGGATTATACGTTCAATAAGGAAAAGTACTATTTTACTCCTAAAATAGACGTTCACTTAACCTTGCATTGACAGAAAGACTTCAATTGGAAAAAAAAAAAATTGATAGTTAGATGATTAAATTGTCCAAATTAAAAGTCGAAGACTAAAGTTAAAAAATCTTTTGAAAAATCATCATACTCAAGAAACCATTTATGGAATTAGCTCAATATTTTTTTTGTTCATAATATGCTTTGAATCCTTTAAATATTATCATATTAGAACCAATTGTCTTAATTTTTTATTTTTGTATTTATAAAATATTTATTCCAATTATAAATTATAAATTCATAAATACCCAAATAACAATATTGATAATCATTCTCATTCCAACCTACTACTAAACATACAAATTATTATCACCAAAACATATTCCAATTACTAAATATTTGATTCTCATTTCGATTCCAATCCCTATGTTCAAACTAAACACACCCTAATTTTCTACCAACAAAAGATACGTGGGGAACGGTGACGGTTTATAAATAAATAAAAATAAAAAGAATATCTTGACACAGAGTATTGGAAGCCAAACTTTAAAGACAAAATGACAAGACAAATATAAATACAGGAAGATCACAACCTGCAACAACATATAACCCCTACTAAGGCAAAACAGGGCATAACCAGCATGTATAGAGTTCTTTTAGGTAGTTGAAAGCAAGCAAGCATTGCCACGCGCTGAGTATACTTTTCATAACCTCCAACTTTCTTTATTCATCCTATTAGCAACCACTGTATACTGCTGTGGAATCAATCTTTGCAGGTATCTTTGATACTCTCGGAGCATAGGAATATATGGTTGGAACTCTTAGTACGGGAATTCATGGTCGGGAGGATCAGAATGCATGTCCATTGAAGTATCATTGGAGCTCTGAAGATTGGCGTCTCTGCTTTGTAGATAGTTGTTGTCACTAAGTCGGGTTCCACCAGCAGAGGATGGGGGGGCGTTTTGAGGGAAACCTCCCTGTACCAGGTGATAGTGCTGAAGGCTCCTACGAATGGGGCTGGACAGCGCGTTTGAAAAGACAGAGTTCTTCGGTTGCTGATCAGAATGTCCTGAACGAAGCCCGTTGGAAGCAGTTGCTGGACCAAAAGAAGTAGAAGAAACAGGAAATCCAGAATTCGGTATATGCATGGAAGTTTGAGACTGCTGCTGCTGCAATGGCAGCCTTTGGGATGTTGGGGGTTCCTCAGCTCCATAGTCAAGCTCATGCTACAGACATGACAAAAACAGTACATAAAAATTAATCAACATTCAATAGGAGTGAATCTGGATATCCATTACTATCAAATGAAAGAAAAATAAACAAATAGAACTCTATAGAAAATAGTACATATTTATATCAAACATAAAGTCATGTTAAAAGCCAAGGGCTAATAAAGAATCAGCGTGAATCACCATATGATACTATTCACAACCACTGTTTACTTGTTGCACAAAATTACTAAAGATGCTGGCCACATACTTAATTCAACATATCTTTTGCCAGTTGTATAGATCACATACGGCACTCAGAAATATCTAGATCAGAGCACCAAATATGACATGTAATGCAAGTAGCTTAAAGAGAAGTAAAATAGCAAGGTAAACACACTGATTTAGAATCTAACCCCTACGAGGGTTTAAAGTTGAATATGTGACTGTGTGAGTCTACTGTACTGCTCTCCTACGGTCCCACCATATCTCATTAAAAATCAAGGAAAGCGAAGATCAAACCTTTGGTCAATAGGATCCCTACTTCCCTCTTTCCAATCTCATCACTTTAATTCCCCTATCTGAAAGGTAACTATCTCTTGGTGGGAAGGTGCTCTTCTATAAACCAAGAGCCTACTGGCTTGGGTTGTTGTTTATAAGCGTTAAAAATTATTCAACAATATAAGATGCTCTTCTTTGGGGACAGAGTCAACTGAACATCTCGGCCACTGGAGGGAATTTCACCAGCATTCAATCCCCTAGTATGAAAGAACAAGCAACGGCTTCTCCCTTACTAATAAGAGGAAAGGGGCAAGCCAAAACTGACTCCTTAAAGCTATCATTTTGACAAGGATCTAGCTTAATCCATATAATGGAATTAACATATCACAGAATTTACACTATGTTAAACAGAAGTTATTGTACTCTTTAACCTATCTATTCCAACAAGAGTACTATCCAGTAAAAAGAGTTCATGGCAAAGTATCAAAATTATTTCTATAGGTATCATGGACATAACCCACAAATAGAAAATAAAAGTGTGCCTGCATAAGTGTAGTATAATGCTGATCCAATACATAGCGAAATCCAAGTGCAAAGAAGCAAACTTGTAGAACAAAGTGAGAGTAATCAAACTTGGAGGTACTTGTCAATCAATGTATGACCAAAGAAATATGAAAGAAGATAATAGGAACAATACAAACCTGGAGGTAAGCAACTATATCACTGGGGTTCACTCTATTTCCATCTTCTTGCTGCCTTAACATCCAATTATAGAGTTTTTCCTACAACAATATAGGAAACAGAAATTTAATATCCAGTAAGTTTGGAGAAAATGAGGGTAAAAGAGATGTTACGCTCATTAAATACCACGCAAAAAACAAATAAAAAACAATATACATCTACTTATTGAATTGCATGTTTAGATCATGAATTGTTTCAATAACAACTGATCAGTAATCAAAAAGATCAATGCCAATGAAAAAAAAAACAGCTCAAACACTAATAGTATTGATCTAATAGTAAGTGCATAGCTTAGAAGTTAAGTAAAAAATACGGCAACACGGATTGAACCTCTTCCTATTGAGTTCAGTAAATACATTTAAAAAAAAAAAAAAAACTCAAT